TTTTCATATATATATATATATATTTTATATATTTATATATATGTATATATGAAAAATATATCAAAAATGCATGTCGGTACTCAAATGAAAGCTCTTGATAAATGTAACATCGGGATGAGCTTATATTTCTAAAAACTTCAATAGTTAAAAAAGTACAGTGCAATTTAACATAATTAAGAAATGACCTTGTATCTCGTGAACTATTGACATTTTTAAGGATATAAACTCATCCCGTTGTTAATCTAATCAAGACCTTTCATTTGAGTACCCACATGCATTTTGATATATTTTTCATATATTTATATATATAATGTATATAAATATATGAAAAATTGATGTGGGTACTCAAATGAAAGCTCTTGATGAGTGTAACATCGGGATGAGCTTATATCTTTAAAAACTTCAATATTTAAAAAAATACAGTTTTATTTACAATAATCTTACTGCGAAATTGAACTGTACTTTATATTTATTTTATCCCAGCACTTGTCGGTATCAAACACTCAGCGGAGATTTAAACTTTGAAATAGAAATTCTTTCACTCTGCGATGTGAATTTCGGCTGCGATAAGGGTTCATTGATCTTCCAGATAATATTTTGTTTGTTGTTCCTCTAGGTCGTTACCTAGAGGTTCGATCTCTCAACAGCGTATCCAATATCGGATTTTTATTCTACACTCAAACAGTCGACAAGGGACGCATTTATGTCCCAGTTTATTTCGATTCCCCAGAATTTATTCCCGACTAAATTTACTGCGATGAATTATTTATATACTTCTCTAAAAACTTGCCGAGAAATTATCAATTTCCGACCATTCAATTTTTTTAATTAACCTAATTACTGTTTTGTATAACAACCCTATAATTAAAATACTTTTGAAAAGTTTACCGCAAAAAGTTAAACATAAAATCGTACAAAATTATCTCAATCTAAAAAATTTCTGCATAAATCTTGGAGAAGATAAATCTAGACAATTCTTAACAGAAGAAGAAAAAATTCTCATATTTTTGCACGCCTCATAAGCGAAGCGTTGAGGTTGTGCTCTACTCTCGACATTTCGAAAAAAGCAGTTTTCTCGAAACTGAAATTGATTTTTTGTTATTTATATCGCACTTACAGGTTAAAATGAGTACACTTATGTCAAGTCAAATAATTTTTCAGGCACATAAAATATATTTCAATAACAATTTTTTTGTTTAACATAATAAATAATAACATTAAACATAATCTTTTTTGGACGTCCGTGTATGAATGGGTGTATGTGGCAGGGAAATTGGTCGAAAAAATGATCGTACCGGAATAATTTTTTTTTAATTATCTAAAGTAACACACGACGGAATTTCTTAGTTAATATGAGCGTTCAATTCACTATCATTAAATTATTATTTATAAAAAACTAACATATGACTGTAGATTTTTTTTGTATTTCTATCTATACACTTTATTATAGTATTTTTTTTCCTCACCTTAGAATTATGGCGCCACTAAACCATGGTTTTTTGTTTTTTATTATTTTGCTTTTTATATTTTATTTTAATCAATTTTATTTTAAAAAATGAGATTATGAGGCGTGCACTTTTGGATTTTTCAAACTTTTTTTTTTTTTCCAGTAACTTAAAACATGAAATTTTATACGCAAAAACGTTTCGCGTTTCTTCATTTTCTTTGTTAAAGATAAAAAAAATTTTAGTTTTATTGTTATTAACTTTTACAGTATATCTCTGCAATATATTTTGTATTATATTTAATATATCATTCTCAGTATTCATGACCGTGGATAGATTGGAGAAAATATTCCGTGGGAAGAAAATTTCCAATAGACTTTTCAAAAGAGATTACATTCCTCCGACATCGATATTAAAGTTAAGATTAATATTAAGCATCAACATTGAAGAATAAGAAGAAGCAAGAAGGAAGAAAGTAATCCTTATTCTTATTATGTAGAAAATTGAGGATTAATCAATTTTATAAAAATTTTTTAATACAAAATCCACAAAAGAGTTATTATAAGAGTTTATTATCATTAAAAAAATGTAATTAAAAAAATGAACTTGGCTTCCAGTTGTCGTATTTTCAGATAAAAATGATATACTATTGTCTCGATAACGAGAGATAACTCTCGACATGTTTACACTTTTAAATGTGTTAAAAACGCATGATACTATCTGTTCTTTGTCTTATTTTATATCATAGATGTTGCTTATTAAATTATTTTGTTATTTTTTGTGACAATTGTAGCTACGGAGGATTTGTTTCGCAGCGGGGGTCTTAAGAAAAATTCCGACGCGCTTTTTTACGAGATATATGTAGCTAATAATAAAGTGTAACAAGCTCTAGAGAATACATGCTTTTTTAAAAGTTTTCTTGTCGGTAGTTTTTCTTCTTCTTTAAGGCTTTTTGTTGAAGAAAACCTTTTCACTACTTATCCGGGCAAATCACTCAATCAATCTTGAATCCATCGCTCGAAAATACCTCCTGTGTCACTATTACGCCCGAATAAATCTACTTTTTCTACAATTGTCAAAATAATGGATGGACTTGCGGAAAAAAGTTCCGTCAAAAGCGAAGAAATATATCACAAATCACGGAGTTCGCAAGTTTAAATCAAATTATCGAATTGTCTGGATAGTGATAGTTTTTAATTTAATTATTTTTATGATTTTTTGACAATAAAATTATAAAAAAAAAAATTAGGAATTAAATTTCACATGACATTTAAAAAAATTACAAATTTAGTAAGATGTTTGAAAATTTTTAGAATTTTTTCATTGAATAAACATCGTGTTTATCTAAAAATTAATGATAAATGTTAAAAAATTGAATTAAGATTTATTCGCTATATTATTAAGAGAATAAGCAAAATTTTGTGGCCAGATACATAATTAAGAAATGACCTTGTAATTTGTGAACTATTGACATTTTTGAAGATATAAGCTCATCCCGATGTTACACTCATCGAGACCTTTCATTTGAGTACCCATATCAATTTTTCATATATTTATATATATATTATATATATGTAAATATGAAAAATATATGAAAATGCATGTGGGTACTCAAATGACAGCTTTTGATAAGGGTAACATCGGGATGAGCTTATATCTTTAAAAAATTTAATAGTTCAAAAAAGTACTGTATATTTATATATTATATATATAATATATATATCAAAAATATATCAAAATGCATGTGGGTACTCAAATGAAAGCTCTTCATGAATGTAACATCGGGATGAGCTTATATCTTTAAAAACTTTAGTAGTTAAAAAAGTACAGTGCAATTTAACATAATTAAGAAATGACCTTGTAACTTGTGAACAATTGAAATTTTTAACGATATAAGCTCATCCCGATGTTACACACATCGAGACCTTTCATTTGAGTACCCACATCAATTTTTCATATATTTATATATATTATATATATGTAAATATGAAAAATATATGAAAATGCATGTGGGTACTCAAATGAAAGCTCTTGATGAGTGTAACGTCGGTATGAGCTTATATCTTTAAAATACATATTATATATATGTATATATGAAAAATATATCAAAAGTGCATGTGGGTACTCAAATGGAAGGTCCTGATGAGTGTAACATCGGGATGAGCTTATATCTTTAAAAATGTCAATATTTAAGAAAGTACAATGCAATTTAACAAAAGTCATTATTGAATAAAGCAAAACTTTATTTATTTATAGTTCACAAGTCACGGCAGTCACATAGTGACTGCAAGGTCGCTAGTAATTACTAATTAGTTACAAAAAAATTAAATTATATAGTTAATCAAAACATCAACCAATAAATATTTTTTAAAATCACTTACAATTCAATAAATTCAAATTATCAATTTATCATGAATTAAATATTAACATTAATTAAAATTCAGTTGAACCGTGAAATAAATTTCAAATTTTAATCAACTCACAGAAAATGAATATCAAACACAATCAAAGCGTTGGTAATATAACTCGATATAAATTTAATTTTACAATTATTTGAAAAATTTATTCCAATTAAATGATCCTCGAGCAAACAAACAAACCAACACCAGTGGAGCACTCAAACATCAATATCCGATTTAATTTACTAAGTGTTATTGCGTGTACATATACGCTAGCTCCAAACAACTCATCCAACACTCACATCGCCCTACTCGTGAGTCAAGTGTCTTTGGTAGTCTGGTGAACAGTAGTATAGTAGGAGTGCTGTCATCAGATTATCGGCTAGTATTAAACACGATCTCAAGTAAAAATAAGCTTTGAAAAATTTTTTATTATTAATTTTAATTTCTTCGCTAATTTTATCAACAGTTATTAAATAGTGAGTGTAATAAAATCATATAAAATAGTTTATGTTCTAACTTTGTTTTGAAAATAAATTATGAAGAAAACTAAGAAATAAATCGGCTTGAGTGTAATGTTAGAACAAAAGTTAAATTTAAAGTTTTTTACCTGAGAAAAAAATGGTGCAGTGCTTTGAAAACAAAAATTGCAACTTTGCAGTTTGGATTTAAGGTCATCGATTAACTCGCGGATTTTTACGGCAATAATAAATATGTCTTGTTCTTAAAAGGAAGCTATTGTAGAACGCCTTTAGATAAATTTTATAAAAAAGTATATTCTTCTTCTTGCAATACAATTTTTTTAGATAATTATTTAATAAATTTTTATTCTTAAAATGAAGCTATCGTAAAAAATCATTAAATAAATTTTATAAAAAATTATATTCTTCTTTTTGCGCCATAAAATTTTTTTAGATAATTATTTAATAATTTTTTGTTTTAAAAATGAAGTTATTGTAGAAAATCTTTAGATAAATTTTATAAAAAAATATATTCTTCTTCTTTTGCAATACAATTTTTTTAGATAATTATTTAACAATCTTTTTTTTTTAAAAATGAAGTTATTGAAGAAAATCTTTAAATAAATTTTATAAAAAATTATATTCTTCTTTTTGCGCCATAAAATTTTTTTAGATAATTATTTAATAATTTTTTGTTTTAAAAATTAGATAATTATTTAATAATTTCTTGTTCTTAAAATGAAGCAATTGTAGAACGCCTTTAGATAAATTTTATAAAAAAATATATTCTTCTTCTTTTGCAATACAATTTTTTTAGATAATTATTTAACAATCTTTTTTTTTTTTTAAAATGAAGTTATTGAAGAAAATCTTTAAATAAATTTTATAAAAAATTATATTCTTCTTGCGCTACAAAACTTCCTTGGATAATTATTTACTAATTACGCATTAAGATGTATTTGACCGCGACTTGACAGCGGATAAGAAAGGAGTTAAAATTAAACTTGAAATACTCCGTAACAAATAAAAAAAATGGAAGGATCAGAGGAGCGGGACTTTGACTACTTTTGGCAGGCTCTGAACAAAGAAAATTTGACGGAACAAGAGTACTTGACCAGGATTCTGGGCCCGAAATATCTGTCGATGAGACTGGTGGTCCCTCTTACTTTAGCGTACGTCAGCATTTTCGTCACCGGGGTGGTTGGAAACATCGCAACTTGCATTGTTATCGTTAAGAACTCAATGATGCACACTTCTACCAACTACTATCTCTTCGGACTGGCCATATCTGACCTAATTTTGCTCACCCTCGGTAAGTGCCCTTCTAGATGATTTATTACTTTTCTGTTATTTTATCATTTCATGTGTTTAAAATTAATTGTGTCAGATTTTTAGTGTAATTAATTGTTTTTCTCATTTTTAACAATGTATTTAATTGCAATTTTTTTTTATATTGAATCAAAATTAAATGAGCCGACTTTTGAAAATTTTTAATTTTTTTTATTAAAAAAAAATTTTTATTTTTTTTATTAAAAAGAAATTTTTTTTTTTTTAATCTAACATGCAGAAAATTTTTTAAATTATTCATGGAATTTTTTTTAAGGATTTTTTTACTTAAAAAAATTTTAACTTACAATTTTTCAACTTGCAATTTTTTATTTAGAATTTTTCTAACAAATAAATTATAATTAAAAAAAAATTTAATCTTTAGAAGCTTTAAAAAATTATGAATTCAATTTTTTATAAATAATTTTCTAGACTTAATTTATTTTTTAAAATAAACTCACAATTTTTTTTATTTTTTCAATTTTATATTTTTTAGCAAATTTAAAATTGTGGAAAATTTTTTTTTTATTTTTTAATTATTATTTTATCAAAAAATAATTAATAATAAACAATAAAAAAATTTAATTTTTTCAAAAATTTACTTTAATTTAAACAAAAAATTTAATGACAGCTCTAAATTAATAAAATTTATAACTTACCTATAAATTTAAAAGTATATTACAACAAATGTCACTTTAAAAAATGATATTTACTATTTCAAACATAGATAGCTTTGAAAACTTCAAAAATGACAAATTTTCATTACAAATATCAATATTATTTATTTATTTAAGTAAAAACGTCGAAGAAAAATAATTTAAATTGTAGGACCAACTAAATACATATTTACAATACTTATTACAAAGGTAATACGTGTTTGTCACTCTAAGTATATAAAATTTGTAAGTTAATTTTGAAGTTTACGGTATTACAAAATAGCATTCCAATATTTACTATTTTCAACATCCGCAGCCTTGAAAGCCTCAAAAATAAAAAGTTTGATCATGAATAAAAATCTAAACCAACTGTTGGAAAAATAAATTATTAGAATCAAAAATAAATATATATAATTTATAATCTGAAGATAAATTTTACGGTCTTACAAAACACCATTTAAATTTGATAAATAATTAACATCTGCAGCCTTGAAAATCTCAAAAATAACAATAATATAAACCAGATGTTATAATTATAACATTTTTGGATTAAAAACACTTTAAATATATAAAATTTCTAATTTAACTATTTATAATTTTTTATTTATTAAATTTGAACAAAAAAATATTTTTTAAAAATTGCACTTAAAGTTTTTAACATTTAAAATTTTTTTAATAAAAATTTTTAGATCTCGGCTAAATTAATTTTGATAAATTTAAAAGTCTTAAAAAGACTTTTTAATTAAAAAAAAAATTTTTACTAGATTAAACATTTGCAACCTTGAAATTCTAATAATTATTAACAAGTTTTGATTACAAATAAAATCTAAATAAACGAACAGCTATAAATATAATCTATAAGTTTATTTGAAGAGGAGCGCAACCATGTAAGAGATGGAATATATTTAACGAATCGAGCAATTAACCCAATTTGAAGTAAAGTGGAAGGAACCTAGTTATTAATGAGCAAATAAATGAAAAAACCAGGTGATTTCTGATTGACAAGTTTTGATCCACTTTTAATCAAGTGCTTATAAATTATGATACCCGAGATAGTGATAAGATTTATTTTAGTAAAATCACGTCTATGTCTCCACGACTCAAGAGTATGAAAGATTATTAACATTTATCGCTACGATTATTTGCACGAGATAACTGCGTCATTTACTTGGGACTTAACATTCAATTTGTTCATCTACTTTATTGTTTTATTAATATTTGTTATTTATCTGTGCATTGTTTAATGTAACAGGCGCTAATTGCCATTGTACATGATTAATTACTCTGGTAACTTGGTTGACCTTTACCCTTGGGTATTTTTGTAACGCGTTTATTGATTTTCCCGGTATATATGATGCGAAACAATACTGTTCATTACTAAGGGTTGCAATTATCGACGGAAATGACATTTGAAGGGTGTTTATGACTGCGGAATAGTTATTTTACCTTGTATTGGAAAATTAAAAGGATATTTGTATGATTTCCACAAAAAAAATACTTTATTAAATAGATTTTTATATAAATCGCCCTGTTGCAAATTTATTCATTAAATTTACATGTTAATATTTAATATAATATAAATATTTTTAATTTACATTATATGTTTAAGTTTTTACACGAAAAAATGAAAAAGAAAAAAGAAAGTCAAATTTAAAACTAGAAAAATTACAGTTTGAAATAACACTTTAAAAATTCAAACTTTAAATGTTATTTTTCACAGCTTTGAATATAATATTTACATTTTACAATGTGATTCTTAAATAATCTGTAAAAATTACAATCTGAAATACTACACAGATGAAAAGATTAGCGTGACTCAAGAGAAAAAAATTAAAAAAAAAAACAACAATATATTTATTGAGTAAAGAGTTGTTGAGAAAAAGTTCTTGGTTTAAAAAAAATTTTTTGGCTTAAAAATTTGTTTTTTAGTCTCAAGAAATTTATTGTTTTCCTCACCAATAATCAATTTATGATGATAAGTAGTTAGGCTGCATTAAAAAATGCTCTATCTCTAGATATATAATTAAGAAATGACCTTTTATCTTGTGAAATATTGACATTTTTAAAGATATAAGCTCATCCTGATGTTACACTCATCAAGACCTTTCATTTGAGTACCCATATCAATATTTCATATTTTTATAAATATTATATATATCTATATATGAAAAATATATCAAAAATGCATGTAGGTACTTAAATGAAAGATCTTGATGAGTGTAACATCGGGATGAGCTTATAATTATAAAAACTTCACTAGTTAAAAAAGTACAGCGCAATTTAACATAATTAAGAAATGTCCTTGTAGCTCGTGAACTATTGACATTTTAAAAGATATAATCTCATCCCGATGTTATACTCATCAAGACCTTTCATTTGAGTACCCACATCAATTTTTCATATATTTTATATATTTATATATATATATTATATATACATATATATGAAAAATATATCAAAAATGCATGTGGGTACTCAAATGAAACTTCTTGATGAGTGTAACATCGGGATGAGCTTATATTTTTAAAATACATATTATATATATATATGTATATATGAAAAATATTTAACAAAAGTCATTATTCAACAATTTTATAAATTTTAAGAGCACTTTAAAATTAATCTAAAAAATTTCAACCCTTCTGTGTACAAAAATAAAAAAAATCTACTTTTCAATCTAATTCGGTAGAATAAAGCGTATTATTTACGCAATTGAACCAAAAACTAGTGGTTTAATATAATTGAAAAAGGTGATTTGAAGGTTTATACCAGAACAGTTGATTAAATTGGGTGACTGAGAGTTGACACGTGCAACAGGTCGCGTTAAATTGGACGGCAGCTCGAGTGATCATTTATTTTTTCAGGAAATTCTTCGTCTCGCCTCCGGGTCTAGACAATTTTATTAAATCTCTTATTTATATTTCTACTTCTCTAGTTATTTACTTGACTATAATCTACAGATAAAAAAAATTATAAAGTACAAACTGGACGGCTAATTTTGATGAGCTTTTGTTACCGGATTACGTCCTTTGAGCAGACAACGCATTTGATCTCGAGATTATCAGATTAGTCTTGTTACGCTGTATCCCGGCAGTGGCTTTGATAACTTACTTGTGTTTTTACAAATGTCCAATGTTCTGATAATTAATTAATTATAATTAATACACTTTACCTTGTAAGTGGTATAATTAATGACAGTATTTATGCTTTACAGGATTGCCTAACGAGCTCAGCTGTATTTGGCAACAATATCCTTGGGTACTGGGAGTTACTTTGTGTAAACTGAGGGCTTATGTATCCGAGATGTAAGTAGTTTATAATTAATTAATTATTAAGCTTAATTTAATAAAAAAATTCCTTTAATTTCTTCTTAAACAATTTTTTGAATTTTTATTTATAAAAAAAAACTTCTAAATAAATTTTTTAATTCATCTGAAAAAAAAAAAAAAGAAAAATTACAAAAAAATTTTAGTTATATTTTTTTTCTCTACAAATTTTCCAAAAAAAAAAAATTTTACAAATTAAAGAAACAATTCTTTGAAATTTTTTTATAATATTTCTTAAATATTTTATAAATTTTTATTCATAAAAAAAAACTTGTAAATAAATTTTTTAATTTATAAAAAAGAAGAAAAATTACAAAAAAAATTTAATAACAATTTTTTTTTCTCTTAAAATTTTCTAAAGAAAAAATTTCAAAAAATTAACGAAACAATTTTTTGAAGTTGCTTAAATATTTTTATTGATAAAAAAAAAACTTGTAAATAAATTTTTTAATTTATAAAAAAAAAAAGAAAAATTACAAAAAAAATTTAATAATAATTTTCTTTTCTCCAAAAATTTTCTAAGAAAAAAAAAAAAAGATAAATAAAATAATTTAAAAAATTAACGAAACAATAAATCAAAGTAAAGTAATTTAGCAAATAAATACCGCGATGTTACGAACAAAACAGAAAACAAAGAGAACATTTTTCACGGTTAGAATGTGGGTGCAAATAATAAAATATTTATCGGTGTAATTAATCACAGGTCTTCGTACGTATCGGTACTAACGATAGTGGCCTTTTCAATGGAGCGTTTTTTCGCTATATGCCATCCCCTGGAAAGCTACACAACAGACAAACCACAAAGGCCTATTAAAATAATATTCATGATTTGGTCTATTGCTTTAGTATCTGCGGTACCCTTTGCAATGTACACAAACGTAAACTACGTCGAGTATCCACCAGGTAATTACCTCGATTTATCATCCGAATAATAGTATATTCTAACCACTTCATTTGCAAATAGCTGACCACACACTGAAGATTAAATAATTTCAGGGTCCGGCGAAGCGTCAGACGATTCAGCCTTTTGCGCAATGTTACTCCCGGACATGCCGAACTTTCCTCTGTACGAGCTGAGCTGTATAATCTTCTTCTTGATACCCATGGTGATAATTCTGGTGGTTTACACAAAAATGGGCCTGAAAATTCGGAAGAGCGCTCGCACAGGGGAAAATTCAATAGTCCACTCCGTGCTTGCGGAGTCGAGGCATGTTCAGTCGCGGAAAAGTATCGTCAAGATGTTGAGTAAGGATTTTTTATTTATTAATTTACTAATTAATTATTTCTTTAAATTATAATTTAAATTATTTAAAAATAGGCGCAGTAGTGGTGATGTTTTTTTTCTGCTGGGCGCCGTTTCACGCCCAGCGTTTGCTTTATGTTTACGCCCGCGAAGCGGACTATTATCCTGACTTGAACGAGTGGCTCTACATCCTGAGCGGGTTCCTCTACTACTTCAGCACAACTGTTAATCCGATTTTGTACAACCTAATGAGTTTAAGATATCGACGCGCGTTCAAGAAGACCATCTGTTGCCACAAGCACCAAAGAAGCCCCAATAGTACCATTATTCATGTTAATCACAATATTAATAATAGCATTATTAATAACAGAGACAGAAATTTTTGTCACTGTGGCTCGGATCGGATTCCTCATCGAACCAATTTAAAATGCACATTCAGGTAAATATTTCTTTACATATAAATTTAGATTTAAAATTGCACATTAAGGGGTTAATTATTATATTTTATGAATATTTTCTCATTGTCATTTGGCATAATTAAAAAGAAATATTGTTTGAATAATGTTTTTTCATCTGTATTTTTATTCAGTCAAAGCTTTGACGAGGTTTCAATTGGGCCGATTTGTGCACAAGTACTCTTTGCAGAAAAAAAAGCTTTAAGAGTTATGAGCTATGATCGATTTTATCGGACAAACTGAATTGAAACTGAGCTTTGACTATAAAACTTTTATTGGAGGATTTAAAACTTGTACAAATGCTTTTTTTATCAAACGAAAACAAATTTTCTGATAAAAAAGTCAATCAACGGATAGAGTTAGATTGAAATATAAAAGCTATTACAAAGCTGCGTATCACAAATTTTGGTATTGATTCAATGAAAATGACCAATTATTCATTTTATTTATTTAATGCCAAGGCAGTTGCCAAATGACAAAGTTTACAAAATAATTATTGCAATAGTCAATACAATAATATAAAATTTAAAAAAAAAAAAATATCTCCGGACAAAATATCCTCGAGAAAATATCCCCGAGACTAAATATCACACAAAATTCATGATAAAAGGGCACAACAATATTTTAAGGGCCATAAATATTTGTTGAAATCCCATTAATAAGGGTTACAATAAAATTGATAATTTTTTTCTAATTTATTGTTTTGAATTGTTTTATTAAAAAATTTAATTATTTAATATATTTTGTCCGGGAATATTTTGTGGGAGTATTTTGCCATAAAAATTTTTTTTCTGATCAATTTTTTTTATTAAGGAAGTACGGGCGTTAGGCGCGGTAAGGGGAAATCAGTAACCATATGATTTTTCTCAATATATAGATATACATTTAACATTGGCTAATGACGGCATTTATTTTTCTTTTAATTAATACACTTTAATTAGTCGGGCAAGTGTAAATTTTTTTTAATAAAATTTATCACTAATATATTTACTTTTACGAGAAAAATACAGAAATGTATCAATGTTTGGAGGTTACCCCATAAGACCAATGTTAAATCGCTCAACTTTAAAGTTAATTATTTATTTAAATAATCCGGCAATCTCCTTCAAATTTTTGGAATTTGTTTCGACATATTTAAACCATATTAAAAAAAAATCAAGCCTTTTATCAAAAGTTGCCTTGGTGCTCGTACTTCTTTAAATTGTTCTTTTTTTTATGTTTAAAAAAAATAGATTAAAAACAACAAAAAAAGATAAAATAAAAAAATAGAAGACAATATTTATTCCGATTTTTAAAGGCAAAAAAGCTATGAAAATTTTTATTTTTTCCTCTCACGACATTTTTTATCATAAATGCGCCGGAAAAATGAGGAGAAAAAAAATTTTTCACCTAATTATGGCCCAAAATGTGTTTGACCCCACTTGTAAATGAGTTTGATATTCATTTTAGCCACATAATTATTGTAACTTTTTTTTTTTTTTTTTTTTTTTTTTTTTTATATATAATTGTAGGAGTACGATAGACCAAGCAAAGGAAATGCTGAAGCTAAATTCAACGCGGCATGAATGCAACAGAGGACCCAAGTCATCTATTGATTACACCAGTGTCAAAGTAACCGAGGAAAATAATGCCAGAGGGACGTTAATTAGCAGACATTCGCCTGTCGAGTATCATCTGAGCAATGAGAATATCAGCAGTCACGGTAACGGAGTTAATGAGACTATTTTAACAGTCAGCAGCGCTGTTTAATTTATTTTTTCGTTTTTGTGTCTTGTAAATATTTTTTATTAGCAATAATTATTTTTTTTTTTCACACAATAGTTTATTAGTTTTTTTGTGAGCTCCGATACGAAAAGTAAAGAGTTTATTATTTTACAATTACACTAGAGAAATAATGAATTACCAAGTTGGAATATAAAAAATTCATATATATAGAAATTTTTCATGAAATAAATGTTTTTCAATAATCGAATTTTTGTAAAAAAAAATTTATAGTCATCGATTTTTTTTAATATTGTGCTGTGATATTTTATATTTTGTACACGCGTATAAATGTGAAAATTGAATAGATTTAAATTGAATGGTGTATTGATAAAATAACTAATAGCTGTTCATACCCGCATTGAATTTTCTGGAATTACCGGGAAATATTTACCAGAAAATACACAGCGCGTTCCTGCGCATCATTAAAAAATTTATTATTTATTGATGACTAAATCCCATCACTGTTAATTAATAATTTATTAAAAATTCAATATTTAATTTTTGTTTAATAAATTATAAAAATTTAATTTTTTTATAATAAATTTTATTTATTTAATGTTTTAATAATTAAGCAAATTTAAATGTAAAATATTTAAACAATTTATTAATTTAAAAATGTGTAAAAATTTATAATTAAAAATCATATCTTAGTAATAAAATAAAATTGCACTGATAAATTATTTTTTTTTTTCTTTAATATAATTCGATATCGATTTCCCAAAAATAGATTCTAGTTTAATAACTTGCCGTAAAATCCACCGGTTCGTATAAATAATTAGCTAATTAACGAAACAGATTAACTAATTTAATTAAACTTCGATAATAGTTTATCTGGAGGTAATTTGAATGGTCGCGTGCATATCGTTTGTGTGTCAAGAGAACAAAACTGTTTTGTTCTATTAGTGAGCTTATTTGATCTTTATTTTTTTATCTTTTCATAATAACGCGGACAATATAAAAGATACGATACAATACAATAGTGAATAAGAAAGTTTCTTTAATACTTTGGTAATTATTCTACATAAACAATGGTGTAGAAAAGAAAAAAAAGTAACAAATGAGAAGCGAGGGTATTTGGTACAAAACTTTTGTACGAAATTTATCGGCAAGTTAAATATTAGCAAACAAATGAAACTTTTATATATTACAATGCGTTGATTAAAACGCGAAAATTATTTAGATAAAATTTCCATCTAAATTACTTGATAGATTGTAAAAAAGTTTGGTATATTCTTCGGGACATGTTCGATGTAAAATGGCGAGCGTGATTCTGCTGAATTTTCTCATTTTTTTTGGACGGTCAATTTACCGTTTAATTGGATGGTTTTCGGAGTTGTCTCTACTTACATTTACACTTCCAATTATTTGGTTGTCTAAATTTCGTTCAACTACAAGGGTAATTTATTTTAAATAATTGATATTGTATTTAAAATTTTTATAAAAAATATTTTTTATTTAGGTTAAAATTTTAAGCGACAATAAATTTATATATTTTAACTATTGACGTTTTTAAAGATATAAACACATCCCGATGTTACACTCATCAAGAGCTTTCATTTGAGTACCCACATGCATTTTCATATATTTTTCACATATACATATATATAATATATATAAATATATGAAAAATTGATGTGGGTACTCACATGAAAGGTCTTGACGAGTGTAACATCGGGATGAGCTTATATCTTTAAAAATGTCAATAGATCACGAGATACAAGGTCGTTTCTCAATTAGGTTAAATTGCAATGTACTTTTTAACTATTGAAATTTTTAAAGATATAAGCTCATCTCGATGTTACACTCATCAAGAGCTTTCATTTGAGTACTCACATGCATTTTGATATATTTTCATATATACATATTATAATATATATATATATATATATAGTGTAACATCGGGATGAGCTTATATCTTTAAAAATGTCAATAGATCACGAGATACAAGGTCGTTTCTCAATTAGGTTAAATTGCAATGTACTTTTTTAACTATTGAAATTTTTAAAGATATAAGCTCATCTCGATGTTACACTCATCAAGAGCTTTCATTTGAGTACCCACATGCATTTTGATATATTTTTCATATATACATATATATAAATATATAAAATATATGAAAAATTGATGTGGGTACTCAAATGAAAGGTCTTGATGAGTGTAACATCGGGATGAGGTTATATCTTTAAAAATGTCAATAGTTCACAAGATACAAGTTCATTTCTTAATTATGTATCTATAGAAATAAAGCAAGACCTTAGCACTGAGACTAAATTTGACTAAAAAAATCGATTTTATCATGTGACTATCCTGGAGACAAAATTTTTCTTATTCTCTTAATAATATAGATTAAAAAAAATAATTGTATTAAAATTTTTAATTCAGATAATAATTGTATTTTTCTTAATTGGATTGGCATTAATGAAAATATATCCCAAATACATTTATTTAAATGAATATCAAAATGAAATTGGCGACAGTGAAAAGCTATTTTGTGCAATATTTGAGCGACATATTCACCAAGGAATATACTCGCCAATAATCGGTGACAATTATTCAATATCAATTGATAAAATCACAAAGAACAATTCCCATGAGAGTATTACGCTAATTTCCGTATCTCTGAGCAATATTAATTCACCGAAATATATAAATATCACCGATAACTATTCAAATATTGATAAAGGGGAAAATTTTAATCAACTGGAAAATTCACCGACGGAATTATCATTCGATGTAAATTATAAAAAATCTATTAATGTGATTGCAAACAAGCGATACGAATTAAATGAAGAAATAGAATCCCAAGAATTTATTGTCGAGGCGGAGTCGGGACTGCAGGAAGAATCTCAATCCCGTAATTCTAAATCTCCGGGGAATAAAATTAACTCTGATATAAATTCCTTAGTTGGACAAATAATTGAAATTGATAAAACCGAACAAGATCGGCGATCTTTTGACAACGAGGTTCTCGTTTCTCCAGACTCCAGTGACACATTCGTCGGAATTAACGAGCTGACATCGGTCATACCCTCCGAGGAAATTTATGGAAGTTTTTCCAAGTCGAAAGTCGCCAGCCGAATAAATTATCTTGAATTAAACAATAATAGTAGAAAAAAATTGCATGAAATTAATGAAGAAGAAATAGAAAAAATTGTCGTCGTTATTAATCCCGACTCTGCGTCGGAAATCACCGAGGACACTGTAATTTTTGATTGAAGAATTTTTATAATTTTTTATTTTCACCGGAAACAGATTTTATTAATAAAAATGCTAATAATTAAAATAAAAAACCATTGAAAATAAATTGATGTAAAAAAGGCCAAGGAAATTTACATTTTAAAGGCAGCTTTTCTGATAAATAAGAACTAAAGAATAACTTTGAAGTGCAAATGAAATTTTTTATCAAAGGAAATAAAATTCTTTTATACATTGCAAAAAATTTTCAGATCAAGTGCGAAGCGAAGGAAAGCTTTATATTATTCATTTAGTTGTTTATAATACACGAAATAGAAGAAAGAACCGGATTAAATTGTAATTAAATATTCGGTATGATCAAGTTTCATAAAAATTAAATTAGCCGTTTAATAATTTTTTTCATTGAAAAAATTAAAAAAAAAAAAATTTCACATGTAGAAAATTTAAAAAATTATAAGTGCAATTTTTTAAAAATATTTTTTAATTAATTTATATTTTATAATTAAACATTCAATTATAATTTTTTATGCAAGCTCACTAAAACACCGCAATTTTGTTAACATGAAATTTAAGCTACAAAATAAAGGAGTGACATTTTCAATTTTACGGAAATATATAATCTGACGATGAAATTCTGTTGGTATGAATAGTTTAATTTAATTCTCTTGTTAAATATTATCGTTTATAATTATTTAGTTGTTTTAAATGACATTTTTAATTTAAATTTTAATTAATAATTCAATTTTTTATTTAAAAAAAATTCTCTTCTTTTTTAACTTAAACAGATAAAATTATTATAACTTTTTGTTCTTTTTAGTTACGAAAAAATTAATTAAAAATTTAATCAAGTATATTAATAATAAATTTATTTTCCGATATTATTATTAAAATAACCTGAAGAAATTTTTATCAAAAATTTTATTTTTGAATTAGAAAAAAATGATAAATTTTCACTGAAAATTAATTATAAAAACAAAGTAAAATTTATTTCCATAAGCTTGTAAAAGTTAAACGTTTAATTAGACAGTATTAATAATTTAATTTTTTATTTTATTCTATTAAAAAAATTTTCTTCTTTTATAATTTAAACATATAAAATTATCTTTTTTTTTTTTTAATTTACAAAAAATTTAATTAAAAATATAATCAAGTATATTAATAGTAAATTAACAATTCCCGGAGGTGTTATTATTAAAATAACCTGATGATGATTAGTGAGATAATTTTGCAGAATTAATCGAAATTAATTATCGATCTGATGATGTAATATTAGCATTCTGAAACGTTGCGCGTATTCAATCGTAATTAAATCTGTTGGCTATAAATAATGACAATAATCACGATAATAGAGTGGATAAAGCAATAAATATAAAATGAAGTAAATGTAGTGAAGGAAATGAGATGATCCGAGTGACTAGCTCAGTTTAGGTCGTGTGTCTTGGATTAAAAGTGGTGAGGAAGAAAATTTGATGCTCGGTATCTATCTATCTACCGTAAGAGTAAGAGTATGTGGAGGCAAGAGTACTAGAAGAGGGTGGGTTGCGTAGTAGACCAAACGGGGTTCAAGGGTGATACCAGCACGACGTCGCCTCATTCGTCCGCGGTCTTGTGAGCCGCGCGCTCTCTCGGCCTCGTCATGTCGCTCCATTAACTACTAAAACGCTCGTTAATAATCCACTGACTAATCTAGTGGCGGGTTCGATCAATTTCACCCCAACCAGCCAATTGACTTTCATGATTTTTTTTTTTCCAGTGATGTAAATAAATTGTGTATGTGATTATTTTTTTCTGTTTTATTGTAAGAATGGATGGCATTGAATTAGAGACAATGAATTTAACCTGGGACGAAAATTTCATTTTTTTAATGGAAAATTGGACGCGGCTTAAGAACATGAGTGAGGAAGAGTACTTGGAGTATCAGTTGGGACCTAAACATTTGAGCTTGTCTGTTGTTGTACCGATTACTGTAGTGTATGTGATTATTTTTATTATGGGAATTGTCGGGAATATTTTAACTTGTTGGGTTATTCTTCGTCATCAATTGATGCAGAGCGCTACTAATTACTACTTGTTCAGTTTGGCCATTTCTGATTTATTGTTACTTATTCTCGGTACGTATTTTTTTATTTAATATTTATTATTGTTATTTCTTCCAATACACTGAAAAAAAAATTTTTTAATCAAAAAAATCATTTTTAATAGTTTATTTTAGAAAATTTTTAATGAAAATTAAATAAAAAAAAAAAATTATTCTAGAATAGACAATTGACAATTTTTTTTAATTTTATTATAAAAAAAAAATTAATGTAAATTTTTTTTAATATTTTTTTAGTACAAAATTTATTTGTTAAAAATTTTTTAAAAGTGTTAAAAATGCGAATTTCAATATTTTATAAAAATAATAATTTTTACACTAATAAAAAAAAAATTTTAGAACGAAAAAAATTTTTTTTTACTTTATCAAAATTTTTTCTCTTGAATCAAGTAAATTTTTTTTTTTTTTTTAGCTTATTTAATATTTATTATTGTTAATTTTATTCCAACACTAAAAAAAATGAGAGAAAAATTTTTTATCCAAATAAATCATTTTTAATAATTTAATTATTTTAGAAAAATTAATTTAAGAAAAAATTATTCTGTAATATAAAATTGAAAATTTTATTATGAAAAAAAATTAATGCAAATTTTTTAAAACATTTTTTTAGTACATAATTTATTTATTAAAAATTTTTTAAGAATATTAAAAATTTTTAATAAAAAATTTTAATAAAAAAATTTTTAATAAAAAAAATTTTTTTACTTAATTAAAGAGTTTTTCTCTTGAATCAATTTTTTTTCAGCGTATAATAATTAAAAATGTTTGTCAAAAATCGTATTATTGATTTCTAACAATTATAATTTTTCTCTGAAAATTTTCACCATAAAAATCAACTATAAATTTATTCCCAAAAGTCATTTTACAAAAGTTAAACATTTAATTAGACAGTAATAATACAATTTACTAATTACCAAGCTTTACGGTAAGTATTGAGCCTCACAAACACGAGCGTTAATCTCTCAAGAAGAATTTTGTAGCAGTCTCGCAAGATTAATTAACCTTTAGCAATACTTTACCCGGCTGACCAAACCGAGTTATAACTCCTAGCGACACAGGCTCGGCATTTCTCCAATGTTATGAAAAAAAAAAAAAAGAAAAGCTACCCTCTGATCTTGTTTTACTCATTAAACAGCGCAAGTGTCTGTAAAAAAGACGATAATCTTGGTTGAAATAAAAGGACGATAAACAAATTAGCCAGACCAGGAAAGGTATCGTGCGGTAAATGAATTTAAAAATAACGCTCAGGGGTAGTTAATTTATTAATTAAAAGTTTCGGTGAGAAATATAACGGGCTTTTTTCACGAAGAGTAACAAAGGTCGTTGTTGAGTGCTTAGTAATTTAAAGAAGCTTTTAAGGTAATTAAAAATATTTAATCGCCCGCTCGGGTGACTAATATTTTTTAGCGGCGATAAAAAATGAATCCTCTTATTATTAAAAAACTTCCTCCTATCCCGGAAAACGGAACAAAGTTTTGTGGGTTTTCGGGACCTCCCGAGTCGTAACTTTGTTTCGCCGAGTGCTTGTTAATAAATGACTGTGACAATGGGCCAAAGGAGCTTTTCTCAACCGGGTTTCAGAGGTATTAATTAGTTCGTCTTGTTTAACTACAATACAAACGGGAATATTGCAAATGAAAAATTGTTAACGTGCTTTTCCTTGTTCGCTTTGGATCAAAATTTATTTTTTCGATGCTATAAGCTTCAATTACTTTTTCTTTTTCGATTTCATTTGGAATCAAGCTTTTATTGTTGGAAGTAATAAAATCTTATCTGTTGAATTTCATTCTTATTGAAATTGAATGACAAAATAAATGGAAAGACCAGATATTAAATTGTTTTTATACGAGAGGTAAAATTTTTTCTACAAATGGACTCGAATTTTGAACAACATATTCTGGTACATGTGCAGTTTTACAGCTCCATTTATTCTAAAAGTTTCAAGCTGTCTGTCAGCTGAGACACGGATAAATTTGCTCAATAAATTTAACTGAATCACTCTGATTAAAATTACAATTGTAGATTGAATTGTCCCGGGACGTGACAATTTATTAATATGATTCAATTTTACAAATATCAGACTCTTCAATTTATTTTCTTAAGGATTTATATTTGCTATCGTTTGTCTTTAAAATTCTACAATCAGTTTTGATTTTAAAAAAATATTTAGACTTTTTTTACAGAAAAAATATCAAAAAATTACTTTTAATATTTAATATAAACTAGCAACCTTGCAGTCACTGTGTGACTGCCGTAACTTGTGTACTATAAATAAATAAAATTTGCTTTATTAGATAATAATTTTTGTTAAATTACACTGTACTTTCGTAAATATTGACATTTTTAAACATATAAGCTCATCCCGATGTTACAATTATCAAGAGCTTTCATTTGAGTACCCACATGCATTTTGATATATTTTTTATATATTCATATATATATAAATATATATAAATATATGAAAAATTGATGTGGGTACTCAAATGAAAGGTCCTGATGAGTGTAACATCGGGATGAGCTTATTTCTTTAAAAATGTCAATAGTTCACGAGATACAAGGTCGTTTCTTAATTATGTATCTATAGATAGAGCATTTTCGAATGCAGCCTAAATACTTATCATAATAATTTGTCATATAAATACACTGGCCACCAAATTTCGCTTTTTTTTTTTTTTTAATATTATAGATAATAAATCTTAATTCAATTTTTTAACATTTATTATTAATTTTTAAATAAACAGGATTGAAATTAAATTAAACTAAAAATTTTAAAAACACCTTAATGTAATAATATAAAATTATGATTATCCACAGAGTATGATATAAATTTTTAAATTTTACTTGATGGATCAGTGAGTCTTGATTTAGATTCGACATAATTCAGTGTTCATTGAAAATTTGAACAATCAGCGTAGGAGGATAAATCAGCGTCAGTGGGATAATACCGAAACATGCAAATATTTATGTCTAAAGTTTTAAATGTCAGGTGCCAACACCTAATATAGCAAGTGTTCTATTGATTTGATGTCAAGAGTTTGCTAATTGAGGAATTGATTGAGAAAATTAATTATTCAAAATACGTAGGACAGAAATTTTTAACCGCAGATTTTTTTTTATTTAGTTTACATTATAATGTCGGTATTAACGTTGGGAAAATTAATGAAGACATTGGAATCTGCAATAAGGGTGAATTTGTATTAAGGACTTGAATTTAAATAATTTACTTAGGAATAATAAATCTCTGAGGATGTGCACTGGATTTACTGCATTACAGTTCCGAAGAGTTAAGAGGAGACTCTCGAAACTTGAAACTTGTTGGATTGCTATTAGGCTCTTACGACTATTGTGAGTTCTTCAACTCGACCGAAACATTCAACAGGAATTAACATAACTTTGATGGTGGATTTACTTGTCTTAAGAGATAATAAGTGCTTTTGAATTATTTATTAATTTATATAATTAGTAAAAAAATAAATTATGAAACAAGATTTTGAAAGTTTGTTCATTATATAATTACGCGCATCACATTAATCTCAAGTAAAAAGTCAAATAATTAAAAAAAAAAAAAATTCATGCCCTACTTTTTTATGACAAGATACTTTTTAAAGTCAATAAATTACGGTGCCGAAAAATTCGTATTGCGTAATCTATTTCCTATTTGGCATTTAGCCAATATATATCACCGCGTTATTGATTGCAATTTAATATATAACTTCCAAAATTTTTTTACATTAAAATAAGTATCATAATAATAATAACTAGCAACCGTGCAGTCACTATGTGACTACCGTGACTTGTGAACTATGAATAAATAAAATTTTGCTTTATTAAATAATGACTTTTGTTAAATTGCACTGTACTTTTTTAACTAATGAAGTTTTTAAAGATATAAGCTCATCCTGATGTTACACTCATCAAGAGCTTTCATTTGAGTACCCACATGCATTTTTGATATATTTTTCATATATATATACTATATATTTTAAAGATATAAGCTCATCCCGATGTTACTTTCATCAAGAGCTTTCATTTGAGTACCCACATGCATTTTCATATATAATATATATATATAAATAGATTAGAAGATTAATAGATTAATAGATTAAATATATGAAAAGAGATTTTCGTCAACGAGATAATCTATACAAGCAGGCTCGTCATTCTGGTAATGCAAATTTATTAGCTCTGTACAAGATCAAAAGGAAGGAATTAAAAACAAAATTAACTCTGATTAGAGATGCTTATTTTAAACGAGTCCTGGAAAACTCTCCACAAGCTGATATTTGGTCAAACCTAAAACGTATGGGGATCATCAAAGCAAAGAAATCATCTCCTCTTGATCATTTTGAGGCTGATGATTTAAATAATTATTATGCTGACATCCTTAAGAAGCATCCATCTTGTTCTAGTGACTTTATAAATAATCTGCCTAACATTGCTCTAAGGAAAGTAAATAGCATCTTTAGATGGACGCAAATTGACATAGTTGATGTCTTAAAAAATCTTCAAATTGTTCTTCAGAAATCAAAGGGTAAAAGTCCTGATGGATTAGACCTAAAATGGCTTAGAGATCATCTAACATACATTTCATTATTTCTTATGGCCATTTTCAACTGCTCTCTAAACATTGGTTCATTTCCAGATATTTGGAAGTCAGTTTTCATCATACCATTAAATAAGATCAATCCACCAAAGTCCATGTCAGATACTAGACCGATAGCAAACTTATCTCATCTTGCTAAAGTCTTTGAACGCATTGTAGCATCCCGATGTTACACTCATCAAGAGCTTTCATTTGAGTATCCACATGCATTTTTGATATATTTTTCATAAATACATATATATACATAATATATATAAATATATGAAAAATTGATGTGGGTACTCAAATGAAAGGTTTTGATGAGTGTAACATCGGGATGAGCTTATATCTTTAAAAATGTCAATAGTTCACGAGATACAAGGTCATTTCTTAATTATGTATCTAGAGATAGAGCATTTTCGAATGCAGCCTAAATGCTTATCATAATAAATTGACTATCGGTGAGAATGATATGAAACCTTGAAAAGGCACAAATTCAAGCCAAGACCTTTCTAATGATACCAAATTTAACTATAAAAACCCATTTAATAATATAAATACACTTACTACAAAATTTTTCTTATTTTCTCAATAATATAGATTAAAAAAAAATAAATTTTCACTCGAATAAACTCATTCTAAATATAAACATTAAATTTTTTTATCCTTCATTTTTAATACAAAATACAAATGTATAAATTTCAAGATCAAATACGACATATTTCATTCAAAGCTTACTTTAAAAAGTATCCAAGCGCGAGTGGAATAAAAACATAAAAATATCAACTGAAGCATGTATTAAATTTTTACTAATAATATATTCCCTCGATTATTAATTGTTCTACTTCTGACACAAACACGAACAAGCCAAAAAATATCAGAAAAAAAAAATTCACACTTTTATTCATTCAGACAAAAGAGCCAGCTTGGAATTTTTTTTTTAATTTCATAATTTCCTGCGTAGGCGGTTAAGGTTGAAGGTTCGTTAATGACGAAGTTGTTTACTCAGCATTCAATATAGCCACAATACAACTATTAATTAGCGATGAGACGCCAGAGAGCTACCAATTACCGAGTTCGGTCTCGTGTAGATCATTTGGGTCATTTCCTTCTGATTTATCCGCTGACGGGACTGTAATTGTCGTGTCACGCCCAAGGGTCTCATGATAAAGACATTAATATGATATCCACGTCCCGAAGTTCCATGTAGTCTTCTATGTAATCAGACCCGACGTCAATTTAGTCCTTGCATAGGAAAAAGCTCTTTATATATAAAAATAAAAATAAAAATATAATTGATCGAATTTTCCGGACCACTGAAGATGTCTAAATCTTCTGGACAGGAAATGCACAATGACAATTGTCAAGTACAACTGAATTAGACCACGAGAATAGCTGACCATTGGGACATCCAGTAGCTGGGACATCCGATTGAAATGTGTAGCTTGTGGAAAATTACGGACTACGGTAAGGAAATTCGCCCTGATTTTACCTCACTAGAGATTGACATTATTCTTGTCCTTGTCATCAATCTGGATTTTGGTTGGAAACAATTGCTGAGTTGTGGAGAGTAGTAATGAGAAAATTCGCCAATTAATCTTTAAATCGAACTTTTTTTATTGACTTGATAGCGAGTTTAGCTTAACGTGAGACAAAAGTAACATATTGAAGGCTCTAATAGCCGCCATAAAGTACAAAAAAGATAAAAAAAATTTCCAGGACCTTATTTTACCTCTGTATAATTTTTCACTTCGGAATAATTCCATCATTATACTCAACAGCGCGTAAATCTTTCTGTGTAGATTAGGTCTCCGAGCACACAGAATTTATATTTCGACGTAGAAAAATGCTAGATAAACAATTCAGTTTCACAGTAGAGCAAACAAAGTCCTGAGAGACGTATCTTCGTGTCCAAAACATGCCCAACATGAAAAAATCTACCATCAATCTGAGAACAAAATAAAAATCTCACTAGTCAGAAAAATAAAAAATGCCATTCTGCCATTTGGATGAGTATTTTTTTTTTTAATTTTACGAACTACCAAAGAAATTTAAAAAAATTATCAAAAGTCGGCAAGTAAAAGCTTAATCAGAAGATAATTATGTGAACTTTAACATTCATTTAATAGATTTAAGCTATCTTTTACGGCTAAGAAATTATTTTAAGATAAAGGCTCGAAATACATGTATTGGAAAATTTTTTCAAATTTTTAAAGTAGCAGAATTAATTCGAAAAATAATCAAAATTAGACGAATAATAGGAAAAATTAAAGGTAATTGCGTGAAATTTAAGATAAATTTGAGTTTTCTTTCACGGTTTGAAAATAATTTCCATAAAATTGACAGAATTGTAATTTTTTTGAAAATAAAAAAAATTTTCAAATACCCACAACTCGTAAACTAACCGGCCGATTTTGCTCATCTTCAAACTAGATCTTGGTATTGATCCACAGAATGAGCTCACAAAATTTCATGACGATCGGTTGAGAACTGTGGACGCAATTTTGCTAACATCGCGCGTTATATCACATATAAGTTTAAACTTTTGAGCCAATGCTATTTTTCGACATAACTCGATGAAATGAAACATTATGACAAAATTTTCCTAAAATTACAACATGAGACATAAAAAGTTGAATATTTCGATGAAATATTTATTTACCCGGTAAGTACCAATGTCAATTCAAAATTACTTACCTTCTTGGGTCTTTGATTCTGCACCGATTTCACTTCATCTGTCTGAATACATTCGATTGCTTTCCATTAAAAGACCTGCTAATGCTTTCTGTACAAAGACTCTTCGCAGCACAATAGTGCTACCGGCATTTAATCTAACCCTTTTCGGTGGTTAGAGCATAAAGTGAATCTCGCAAGCTCTCGAAAGAGCGACGTGGAAAAAGATAAAATTTAATATCGCCATTATCATTATAACGGGTTAAATATTGAACAAGATCTAATTATTAAAACCAATTAGATGGCGTATTGATTTTAATTGTACGATAATGAGAGGTCATCAGTTTAATTGCTTATCTCGGAAAATTTAATCAGGGTAAATCTGTAATATGAATTTTCCGCGAGCGTGCAAGAAACCATTTGCGATCACTTTATCGGCGGTCTTCTTCCTAGTTTAGTGTCTCCTCTAAAGTCTGATAAATTTGTGTCAGTAGAGCGACCGCTCGTTTATATTCCACTGGGATTAATTTCTGTTCAAGCTTTGAATATTGAGTTTTCACACGATTTACATTTACATTCAGTAATTTATTCAAAATTACATTTCTTCTTTTGTAATGTATAAACCTGACATTATTTATAATTATTTTATGTCGGTAGAAATTTTAATATTTATTGGTGTTAAAACGATTTTATTTATACAATCGTAATATATATTATATGTTTTAATTAAATTTTAATTATTGCAAAAGATGAAAAAGTTTCACTTATTTGTATGTCACTTTGATCGGAATTGGATGCAAATAATTAGATAAGTTGCACATGTACCAATCATCTAAAAGAAAAAAAAAGTGTAATTGGTTAAAAGCCATTTTTGATTGACAATTTGAAGATAAAATAATTACAGTCGCTAAAAGTGACCGGTCCAATGGAATAATTCCGAAGGCTGTAAATTCGACTTTTTGAGACGAGACTTCGTATAAAAAATAGTCCAACTATAATTTTTAAAGAATGTGTGATAATGATAATTATAAAAATTGATTTTGAATAAATAAGCTTACCTCTTTTTCAACTTTTTCATCCATTGTGCAGCGATCTATTAGATAATTAACCATAACCGGTGTTTCGGTGCTCTGAAAATATTCCAAGTATTAAAAAATGTTGATTATAAATTGAGAAAAAATTTATTTTGAAAAAAATAAGCAATTTTATAATAACAATTTATTTTTCTGCTGAACAAATAAAAATTTTTCTGACAATAATTTTTTTGCTAAAAAAAAAAATTTCCAAATTTAAAAAAATAAAATTTTAGATGAAAATTCACAAGTTATTTATCTAAAATTTTTTTTCCAAATTAAAAAAAAAGTTTTTTCAACAAAAAAAAAATTTTTGAAAAATTTTGGAACAAATAAATTTTTTTTAAAATAAATTTTTTCCCTCAGTGTAAAATAATAAAACTAATTTACCTCGTTAATGGTCTTAGTAACGTAATTGGTCAGTACAAAGATGGCAATATTCATCCAAACCACAATAGATAAATCGATCATCATTAAGAAATCAATATGATATGTTTTCAAGTATTGCAAAATAGTAGAATAAATAATAATTGTACTTGTTTGGCCCATGTAAATAATGACCTGCAAAATTTTCAGTCCAAAAAAATCAGAAACTTTTTGGGAAATTTCGCACAGTTTTATGTAAGCAAGTTTTAAGTTAACGATGTCGTAAAGCAAAGACCCACGCAGAAGTGACATTTTAGTGACGGACAATGTGTTGAGTGAATCTTCATAGCTTTTGATGTCACCTAGCTTAGCTAGAGTCGAATTGATACTTTTGAAGCGCTTGGTGATCGTGTCCAGCAGCATCGAGTATTGAAAAATTATCCAATTATAAATAAGAGTCGGAGAGAAGACAATCGGTATCATATATATTTCATGATAAAAACAAAAAATTATTATAAAAGTTACGGAAATCACTAGATTCGTTATGAAAATTAGATGAATCGTGTTGGAGTTGTCAACTTTGAAAAACGCGCACTTTTGCAGTCTTTCGTCGACATACTTTAACTGATTCAAAATTACTATCATCTTCTTTTGTCCAATTGTTAATATTACGATAAAGAAAATTAACAAGTTAAAATTAAAATATATCAAAAATTGTAACATTACAATGGAAAAGATTATTTCTGATGAATCTTCAGTTAAATAGTTGGTCTTCAAAACATACGCAAGCATTAGAACTGCCATCGTTATTAACAAAATGTTGTAGAACAATCCGAGGCATGAAAACTTGTAACTATTAGAGACTCTTCTATTTTTCGGATTTTTTACTGGAGGAGTATTTAGGCTCCAGGACGACAAACCCAATATCTTCAAAATAACGTGTTCAGCATAAGCCAGATTTCGGTGAAATGCTGAGTCGCGTTGGTTGAAATACATTTTTTTTTTATTAGATAACGTGCTCCGTTGGCTGAGAAACGTTCGTTTGCTGGTAACGGGTAGATAATGACGACTGAAAGGGCTGTGTAATGTTTGTACTCGGTTGCGTGATTGTTTGTAATTGTTCTTTTTTTTTCATTAACTTAACAGTATTGATAATCTGATCTATGCAAATGTATTTCTAAGTAATTGAATGTTATGTTGTGATAAATAATTTAAAAAAATGATAAAATACTTAATTTAATATGATAGATAATGTATAATTATTTTTGAAGCGGCTGGGATAGCCACGCGGCACGCGTCTGACTATGGTGATCATGATCATGATCACCTAAGCTAATCAGCATTTACTGTGGTTAATACTTGGATGGCTGTCCGCCTTGTCAGCGCTGGCTAGCGCGTAGATCTCTGTGCGCTAGAAGAGGAGACTAATGTTCCGGTAATCGATAATGAAAAGTTTCTTATCGATTACCGTGAACTTAGCCCTGCTCCGACTGTACTGGCATGGGTTTTCTTTGTGGTTTCACTGTGTCACTATTCCAAGAATCTAGGAAGAGGTGAGGAATAGGGCAAATGCAGTACAGAAAGCACAAGCCGGTCGACAGTTGCAAAAAATAAAGAATATGATAGTTAGTTGCACTATTAGTTCTATCCCAACAGAGTAACAAGTGTTTTTTTGCCTTCAACAAAGGTACAAAGTTGTTATTCTAATGACATAGACTGATACTGATCTTGATCCAGTGAGTTTATTATAAAACTTTTCAATTTTGTGCGAATGTATTACAAAAATTTTTAACTACAATAGTTTGAGTATTAATAACATAAATACAGTATGATATTATTTTTTAAATTGAATCTTATGTCAAAAAAAAAAAGTTTTTAATTTGGAGGTGTGCTAGTACGAAATTGGATGAGAATTATGAGATAAGTTGCGACTGTGCCAGCAATCTAAAAAAAAAAATATTGGATTGATTGGAAACAATTGATTACTGTCAATTTAGATATTCAAAACAATTAATTATACTCACGGTCGCTAAAAGTGAACGGTCTATTGAAATAATTCCCCAAGCGGTGAATTTGACTTTTCGAAATGAAAGCTCGCGCAGAAAGTTGATCAGCTTGAAACAAAATTTTTAATTAATGGTAACAAGCATTATTGATTGCTAAATTCATTTTATTCGTTAAATAAATTTACTTCTTTTTCAACTTTTTCATGCATCGCGCATCGACTCATCAGTGTGTTGATAATATTCGGCGTTTCTTCACTCTAAAAATTTTTTTCATTTGTTAAATTAAAAATTAACTTAATAAAATTCAAGTAAGAGTTAATATTATTCGTAATTAATCGAATAAGCTTATTTTAAGGATATTTTGGTCTAGAAGCTTCAATTTAAAGTAATTTTTGAAGTGCCGTAAAAAAATAAGACAATATTTTTAAAATTCATTTTTTAATAAGATATTTATTAATATTTAAAGAATGCAGAAAAAAAATTTTAAATTCAAAAAATTCAAAGTTAAAAATCTAGGAAAAAAAAAGATTATTAATTTAGAGTAAAGCCGATACTTATCTTGAGTTTCTCGAATTTTTTAAAAATAGTTAACATTGAAATTTGAGGATGAGGATAGTTCATACGGTAGAAAAGTCTATAATGAAGACTTACACCAAATTTCAAATGATTCGGTTCAGTAGAATTTGAGAAATTGTGAATATCGTTTTAAAAAAGACAGTTTCAAGAAAAACGCGTTTAACGTTTAGCGTACCGTTTCTGAAAAACAGCCAAATCTTCGAAAATGATTTGAATTTTCTAAAATCCTCCAGAAGAAATATTATTAAAGGGTTAAACTTTGGAAATATGAAAAAAAAAAAATCAATTTTTTCAATTTCTAGACCAGAATACTTCCTTAACACATACCTTATTTATTGTTTTATTAACATATGTCGTAAGAATAACAATCTGAAAGACCATCCACAGTACAAATACGATGTCTTTGATAAATAGCAGCAAATGGAAATCTTTTGATTCGTAATAAGCCACCAACATGAAGTACAAAATTAATATCGTTGACGTTCCGTGGTACATAAATACTTTCAAAAAAGATAGCCCATAGAAGTCAGAAATGTTATTGCAAATATCACACAATTTGTTGTAAGTATCCTTCATATTAATCACATCGTAGAGCACTGACTCGCGCAGAAACACAAGTTTGGTGGTGAACAGCGGCTCCGATGCTTCCGGATTAGCTTTTATCTCTCCCAGCTTAACGATATTTAGATTGATGAATTTGAAGCGTTTTTCCATCATGTCTAACATGATTGTATATTGGACTATCACCCAGCAGTAGAGAAACGCGGGCCAGCACCGCAGCACAGCTAACCAAAATGATTGGAGAAAAAAGAATTGAAGACATATCAGAGTGCTACAAGTGATCAGGTGTCCAAGGAAGATCAAGTTAATTATTATGTCCCCATTTTTCGCTGAATTAAATGTATACTTCTGCAAACTTTTGTCGATTTTGATAATCTCATTAAAGATTCCGATCATGTCCTTCTGTCGACAAGTATAATTCAAGAATACCGAACTCGATAATAGCACAGCGAAGTATTGCAAGTTCATCATAGTTGATGGAGTCACCAACGAATCGACTTGTGCTTGAACAGAGTTGTGCTGATGACAAAAGTACGAAGTCATTAAAAATACAGAAGTTGTCAGTAGAACATTGTACAACAATCCAAGGTACGAAAATTTGCAGATGGTAGTTTTTGCGGTTTGATTTTTGGACTGCTTCGTAACAAGATTAAATTTCCAGGGTGCTAGTCCCAGTATTTTGAAGAAGATGTACTTAACGTAGATTAAATTCCGCTGGTGAACTGAGCCGTATACACTCTGATACATTTTTAAGAAAATATTTTGCGTAGCTTTTGCGCGACCTACACTGGGTAAAAGACTGACGAAGACTAGTTGAATGATATCGATTCGGACAATTTCTATGCACTTGGTCGCGTGAATGCTAGTTGTATTTTTCAGCTTAACTGGGGTGATAATCAACCTTGTTAATAAAGTTATAGTCGTTAATTATTCAAGTAAACGATAAAAATAAGCTCATGAGTAAACAATAATTGTTTAAAGGTGTGCTTCTGCGGAATTATATTAAATTAATTATATAGGCCGATATCGTACTAGCTATCTAATTAAGAGGGCTTGAAAGTAATTTACTAATATTTTGCTGTTCATAAATTCAAAAGTTTCATTTTCGAAAATAATGAGTGTTTCTTAAACATATTGATGTTAAAATATGAATAATTTTTTTTTTTTTTTTTTTTTTTTTTTTTAAAAATTAAGAAAAAAAAAAAAAAAAAAAGTACTAACTTTACTACAGACTTTAAAGTCGTTCGTAATTTCGCAGTCTTTAGGATGTTAATCGTAGCTGTCGATAACACATTTAAATACACCGTATTAAATGTTATTATTATTATTAAATATTGTTTTTATTTTTTCATTACTTATTTTTATTATTTTACTTGCTGATTATTTATTATATATTATTTATTGTTATGCGAATTTTGTTTCAGTTGAAATTAATTAAACTCACGGAAGCTAAAAATGAACGGTCTAGTGAAAAGATTCCCCAAGCTGTGAATTTGACTTTTTGAAATGCCAGCTCGCATCTAAAGTTAATCAGCTGAAAAAAGAAACTTTCAATTAATGATAACTAGCATTACTGATCGGAATTTCAAGGATTGAATTAATAAATTACTTCTTTCTCGACTTTTTCGTCCATCGCACATTGACGGATTAATTTATTGATAACATTTGCCGTTTTTTCAATCTGTAAGATCGTCCATTAAAAATTGATCATTAAAAATGAACATAGATGGAGAAAACTCACCTGAATTATTGTCCTAGTCACATACGAAGTCAACACAGTAGTTTGGAATGCAAACCATACTACAATAACTCCGTAAGTAAAACATGATATCAAATCTAATTTAATCATTCCCATGAAAAACACTAACAGAAAGTATGAAACTATTAACGTAACCAATATTCCGTTATGCGCCATGCCTGCTAAAATCGTGAAACCGTAAAATTCGGAGACATCTTCACAAATTTCACACAATTTATGGTACGTATGCCTGATATTTACGACATCATGAAGCGCTGGCCTGCGTTGAGCCGCAAGTCTTTGGAGAGAAAACGCCGGGGACAGTTTTGAATCTTCTTCAATGTTGCCCAGCTTCATGATGCTTGAGTTTAGGAACTTGAACCTTTTCTGGATCATATCCAAAACAGCATTGTGTACTGCATCATTACCCAGCAGTAGAAGGTCATTGCACCACATCTCAGCAAAGTTTTAAAAAATGGATGTGGTAGATAACATCCCAGTGTAACAAGAACAGCGCAGATTAGGATGTTGAAAATGAATATCAAACTAATGATAACATTTCCGTTTTCAGATGAATGGAAAGCGTACCTTTGCAGAGTTTGGTCGATATTGTTCATCTTGTTGAAGATTTTAATCATTTTTTGCTGCCGGAATGTGTAAGTTGTGATGTGTGAGAATCTCCACACTGTGAATTTAGTATTTCTGCCTCTAGAAGCTTTCGCTGAAAAATTTAGTGTCCAGGGTGACAACCCGAGTACTTTGAAGAAAATGAATTGCTCGAAAAACAAATTTCGTTGATGCACTAAGCTGTATGCATTGAGGTACATGTTTTAGAGTTACTAGAGACGTTTGACACTCCGAACTGAATGACTGACGGATCGAGACTAGTTTGGTGCAATCGATTGCAAAAATTTCTGCGTATTATGTAACATGCTTATTAAAATGTTATCTTAATGGCGTATATGATCAGTTAATTTAATGGTGAGATACGTTACAATTGCACCAGACATCTAGAAAAATAACATTTCAATAAAGTTGATTAAAATATCTTCAATTTAGTGAACGTGAAAAAATTAATAATAATTTTTTAATTGATTTTAAGTCGTGAATTATTGTGAAGGCGTGCTCATACGGAATTGTATGAGAATAATTAGATAAGTTGCAATTGTACCAGCGGCCTAAAAAAAATTATTTCATTACTGTAATTATAACTTTTAATGAATTTAAAATTTTTAAAAAGGATTCAAACTTACGCTTGCTAAAAATGAACGATCTATTGAAATTATTTCACAAGCTGTGAATTTTATTTTTCGAAATGTAAGCTCGCGTAGAAAGTTAACCAGCTAGAAATTTATAAATTATTTAGTAAATAGGATTATATTATAGGATGCAATTCTGTCAATGAAAATAAATTTACTTCTTTTTCGACTTTTTCATGAACCATACTTTGATTCATCAGTGTACTGATAATAATTGGCGTTCTTTCACTCTGGAAATTTCGTAAATCAAAAATTAAAAAACTGATTTGATGAATAACTGCACAGTAAAAAATTTTGCGTCATTGCGTCAAAAAATGTTATGTTAAAAATTTTTATGTTGAATGTTTAGCACTTTTATGTGTAAATTAAACACTTATTTTGATAAATCAACACACAAAAGGGTTAAATATTTAACACAAAATTTTTTGACGTAACAACGCAAAATTTTTTACTGTGAGTGCTACTCACCTCTTTTAATATTAATGAAACATAAGTAGTGAGAGCAATTAATTGAAACACTGTCCAAAGTATAAACACGCTTTCATTGAAACACATGATCAGAGGTAATTCAATTTGTCCGTAAAAAGACAATAGTATGAAGTACGAAAGAACAATAACACCACTTCCGTTGAACATGATGACAACCAGAACTGACTCTCCGTAAAAACAAGCAATGTCTTCACAAATTTCACACAGGTCTTTGTAAGTGTGCTTGATGTTAATGACTTCATGAAGGATCCGTTCATATAAAATTGATGGTTTAATAAAAAACATCGGCCGTGATTTTTCTAGATCCACTTCTGCTGGTCCCAGCTTCATGATATATGAATTGATGAACTTCAATCTTTTTCTGACCATATCCAGTAAAATCGTATACTGCTCTATGACCCAGCAGAAGAGAATCCAGGGAGCGACTCGCAGTAGAGTTTCGAAATATGACGGCAAGAATAATCCCACTGACAGGAAGAAAACGCTAATTATCAAGTGCAGGATGAAAATCAAATTGATAATAACGCTGTCGTTTTTAGATGAATTGCAATTCTTTATAAAGGTGTATTTTTGTAATATAAGGTCCACATTGTAGATTTTGTTCAAGACGATGATCATTCGCTTCTGTCGCACAGTGTAAATTATGAAAATTAGGCTCATCACTAGCAGGGATAACAATTGAAAGGTTATCATCCTTGAATGCGTCACTAAAGCATCGGCTAATGGTAGCGCGGTGTAACGCTGATAAAAAGTAAACACAGATAATGAAATTGCAAGTATTATCAATAATATGTTGTAAAAAGAACCAAGGTACGAAAATTTGCAGAATTTTATTCTTCCATTACGATTTTTGGGGAGCTTTTCTGGGAAACTAACCGTCCAGGGTGATAGTCCGAGTATTTTGAAGAAAACATGTTGAGCGATGACTAAATTCCGATAATGGATCGAACTGTATAAATTTTGATACATTTTTAAGGCTTTTTCCGGCGACTGCACTCGTTAGAAGACTGATGAAGACTAAAAGACTCGTTAAATTAAATGAAATTTAGAAAATTTCTATGTACTGAGTCGCGTGAATGCTTGCCTTATTTTTCAAGCTTAACTGTGTTGATGATCGGCTTGGTGATAAATTAATTTTTATCGACTAACCACTCAGAAAAATAGTTGCAAGGACACTCGAGAAATTAATTAGGATAATTACATATGGTGTAATCGTACGGAAAATCTAGAAAAAAATATAATTCTTCCATTCGATCGTATACTGACGTAAATCTCTCGGAAATCATCTTCAAGTAGTTTTAATGTAATTTATTAGTTTGGAAAGTTTGAGTGATTCTATTGCAGGTTATTTTTAAGTTGTGAAGCTCGAGAGTACTTAACAATTGATGGATAAGTTTAGTGCAGTTTCATTGATTGTAACTACTACGGGAATTGATCGCGTGAATATATATTTTTCTTTTTCATGTGAATAATTGCTCTGATATCATGCATGTAGAAAAAAGTATCAAGTTTTATAATTGTTTTGTATTTCATTAAATATTTAAAATGTTTACAGAATTAGAAATTCATTTAGATAGATATTATAATATCTATTGTATACATCTTTGTAAAGCTGAATTATAATGAGTTGAATTATAAAAGTAGCAATTTAAAAATAATATATTGGATAAAAAATAATTTTTATAACTTTTTTGAAACCCACATCAGTGCAAAGCAGAAAAATCTAACTCAAGTCAAAGTAGTTTTTGTTTTTAAATACATTTTGTTGAATCAATAAGAAGAGTTCTCCGACTTCGAATTATTTATAACTGTGTCGGTTGTAGTCTTAGAACGATATTGTAAAAGAATGATGAAATACGTCACAATTGTGCTGGTAATCTGAAACAAAAAATAAATTTGTCCAAGAGAAAAAGTTATTATCAAACTAAAAAAAATCATTAAGGGATAGATTGCACTTACAGTTGACAAAAGTTTACGATTTAGCGGAAAAATACCACATGCGACAAATTTGAGCTTCCGGTGAATTATATCGTGAGAAAATTTGGATAACTGGAATTTTTTATTAAGTTAGCACACTTTAATATTTGTTAATATTAATTTAAACAGTTACTTTTTTTTCGACTATCTCGTCCATGGCGCATTGGTCCATGTGTATATTGATAATATCTGCTGTTTTTTGGCTCTAGAAAAAGTCAAAATTTTCGATACAAAACAATAGGTTTGTTAAGAAAATAAAATGTTTATTATACCTCTTCCTCTGTTGAAGCGATAAAAACAGTAAAGAGAACGAAACTGTAAGCTATCCACAGTATCCATGTTGCATCCGTAACATAGCTTATAACGAATTCAAAATCATTGTTTAATGAAAAAGTCAAAACATACGCGACTATCACACTAAAAATACTACAATCAATAATTAAAAATAACATAATCACTCCATAGAAGTTGTTAATTTCGTTGCAAATTCTGCATAACTCGATGTAAGCATGTTTTATAATGTCAATTTCATGAATAAGTAATTGCTGCAATAAATCGTAATATATTGCGGATAATCGTCCTGACATAGAAGTATCTTTCTTTTTGACATCAAGTTTGGATAGAACATGGTTTATCATTTCAAATCGTTTTACAATTTTTTCCATTAGAAGTGTGTATTGCGTTAATATCCAGTTATTAAGAAAAGCCGAAATTTGTTCTTGAAATATTTCTAGCGAAGGAGTGATGTAAAATACAAAACATCCATAGAAAATGCTTACGAAAAAGTTTATCAAAAAAATACTTCGGTTAGTTTGATATTCGTAAGCCCCGCACTTTACCAGTTTTTGATCAACGTCTTTCAATTTATTAAAAATCTTTATCATCACTTTGTTATTTATAACGTACATCAACAACATTCCACACACAAAAACCATATCAATCGAAAATAAAATTAAATTTGCCGGTTTGGTAATAATACCATCGGTATGGACTCCAGATACTGGAATAAACTTAACGTAAACAGTTAAGCAGACCAATGAAATTATCAATGAAATATTGTACAAACATCCTACTAACGAAAATTGACACTCGTAATCCGGAACATCGAAGCTACGATTCTTACGGAGCATTTTCAAAACATTTAGTGTCCATGGCGACAGCCCCATTATTCTAAATATGATATTTTGAAAAATAACCAAAGTTTTATCATACACTGAATCATATTTATTGTAATACATTGTTTCACACTTAACGATTATAAAATAAATATTTTCTATACAGAAAAAAATTCCATGAACTGATCCAAAGTACAACTTTGCAGGATCAACACGCGATGAAAACTAGTGATGAGTGTTTGAATGTCAATTGATAGGTCCTGTGCGATTTGGTCGCGTGAGGGTTAATTTTCATAATTACTAGCTCATTATCCCGTACACAGTTTTATCTTAGTTGGCTCTAGTACAAATTGATTTATTTATTTATTTTTAAAAAGCATCAACTTTTGTAATTGTTCTGTATTTTATTTAATATTTAAAATGTTTACAGAATTGAAAATTCATTTAGATAGTTATGCAGAGTTCAATTATAATAATTTTAATTATAAAAATAGCAATTTAAAAATAATGTATTGGATAAAAAATAATTTTTATGACATTTTTAAAATCCACATCAGTGCAAAGCAGAAAAATCTAACTCAAGTCAAAGTAGTTTTCGTTTTTAAAAATATTTTTTTGAATCAAGAAGATTTCTCCGACGACGAATTATTTATTACTGTGTCGGTTGTAGACTAAGAGCGAAATTGTAAAAGAATAATGAAATACGCCACAATAGTGCTAGTGATCTGAAACAAAAAATAAATTTGTTCAAGAGAAAAAGTTATCATCAAACTAAAAGAAATCATTAAGGAATAAATTGTACTTACAGTTGGCAAAAGTTTACGATTTAGCGGAAGAATACCACATGCGATAAATTTGAGCTTCCGCTGAATAATATCGTGAGAAAATTTGGACAACTGGAATTTTTTATTAAATTAGCACACTTAAGTATTTGTTAATATCAATTTAAGCAGTTACTTTTTTTTCGACTATCTCGTCCATGGCGCATTCGTCCATGAGTATATTGATAATATCTGCCGTTTTTTGGCTCTAAAAATAATCAAAATTTTCGATACAAAACAATAGGCTTGTTAAGAAAATAAAATGTTCATACGTCTTCCTCTGTTGAAGCAATAAAAACAGTAAAAAGAACGATATTGTAAGCCATCCACAGTAGCCATATTGCATCCGTAACATCGCTAATATCGAATTCAAAATCATTGTGTAATGAAAAAGTTACAACATACAAGACCATCACACTCATAAAACTACAATCAATAATCAAAAATAACATAATCACTCCATAGAAATTGTTAATTTCCTGGCAAATTCTGCACAACTCGAAATGAGCATTTTTAATTTCATGAATAAGTGATTGCTGCAATGAATTGTAATATATCACGGATAATCGTCCCGACCTATAAGTATCTTTCTTTTTGACATCAAGTTTGGATAGAGCAAGATTTATCATTTTGAATCGCTTTAAAATTTTTTCCATTAAAAGTGTGTATTGCGTTAATATCCAGCAAGTGAGAAAAGCCGAAGTTTGTTCTTGCAGCCATGCTAGTGATAGGTTGTCGTAAAATACAAGAAATCCATAGCAAATGCTTACGAAAAAGTTTATCAAAAAAATACTTCGGTTAGTTTGATATTCGTAAGCCGCGCACTTTACCAGTTTTTGATCGACGTCTTTTAATCGGTTAAGAATCTTTATCATCACTTTGTTATTTATGACGTACATTAATAACATTCCACACACAAAAGCCGTATCAATCGAAAATAAAATTAAATTTACCCGTTTGGTAATGAGACCATCAGTATGAACTCCAGATACTGCAATAAATTTTACGTAAACAGTTAGACAGACATGAGAAATTATCAATGAAATATTGTACAAATATCCTACTACAGAAAATTCACACTTGTAATCCGGAACATCCATGCTACGATTTTTACGGTGCATTTTACAAACATTTAATGTCCATGGCGACAGTCCTATTATTCTGAATATGATATTTTGAAAAATAATGAAAGTTTTATCATACACTGAATCGTATTTATTGTAATACATTGTTTCACACTTAACGTTTTTGAAATAAATATTTTCTGTAGAGAAAAAAAATTCCATAAACTGAAGTACAACTTTGCAGTGTCAACACGCGATGAAAACTAGTGAAGAGTGTTTGAATGTCAATTGAAAGGTCCAGTGCGATTTGGTCGCGTGAGTGTTTATTTTCATAATTACTAGCTCATTATTCCGTACACAGTTTTATCTTGTTTGGCTCGAGTACGAATTGATTTATTTATTTATTTAAATTGATCATGGAGCTTTTACTTTCTGTGACCATATATCAGTAACTACAATGTTTTATATACAGAAAAAAAAATTTATCCAAATCAAGTAAATCATTTTGGAGAATTTCATCTTCTTGATTTGAGTTAAAAAATTCTTAAACTTTTCACTTAAATTTTTCTTGATTTAAGTAAATTTTATTTAATTCGAGAATTTTTTGTCTTGATTAAAGACAATAAAACTCTTAAAAATTTTTTTTTTCGTTCGAGAATTATTCTTTCGATGCAATTGAAAATTTTTTTTAATTTCTGTGAGACTAACTAAAACTAATGTTTTATATTTAATGGGCTTATTCTATATTTTCTTTTGTGTACGCTTTTGTATGAGTTGAGACCATTGTTGTGGGATTATATTGAATAGAAGTGGACGATTCTGGTGGTGCGCTTACACGGAATTGAATAAGAATTATTAAATAAGTTGCGACGGTACCGGCAAGCTAAAAAAAATTAGCAAGAATTATTAAAAATAATTATTAATAGCTAATTTAGAAAATTTGATTGCTTGACTCACAGTCGCTAAAATTGAACGGTCAAGTGAAATTATTTCATAAGCTGTGAATTTTATTTTCCGAAATGAAAGGTCACGTAGAAATTTAAGCAGCTGCAAAGTAAAAATTTATAAATAAAAACAAAAGAGCGTTATTAAGCAATTAATGTGAATAAATTTACTTCTTTTTCGACTTTATCATCCATTCTATTTTGACGAATAAGTGCATTAATAATGTTCGCTGTCTTTTTACTCTGAAATGAAGCGTTAATTTATACTTCAAAAATGATAAAATTTTGAAAAAGTAACCCACCTGTTCAATTGTTTTATCAACATAAGTTGTAAACACAACAATTTGGAACATCATCCACAACACACATATTCCATGAGACATAAATTTTATAAAAATAAAGTCCTTTGAATTGAAAAAACGAAGCAACGTGAAGTACAAAATAAATATTGTTACTGTTCCATTGTGCAAGATAACTCCCAAAATTATTAACCCATAAAAATCGGCAACGACTTTGCATATTTCATACAAGTTGTTGTACGCATGCTTGAGATTCATCACATCAAAAATTACCGATTCGTACAAAAATGACAATTTGGTGATAAATAATCGCTGGGATAATTCTGAATTTTCTTTTAAACTGCCCAATTTTGCGATACTCAAATTGATGTATTTGAATCTTTTGTTAATTACATCCAATATGATCGTATATTGCACCAGGAACCAACAAAAAAGAGTCGTAGGAAAGCATCGCATTAGTGCTTCCGAAAATGAAAATAGATACAATTCCAACGAGACAAGAACAACAGATAGCAACAGATTTATAATGAATATCATATTAATGATTACATCATCTCTTGAAATGTTCCATCCGTATTTTTCCAATCTATAGTCGACGTTATTGATCCCGTTGATGACACTAATCATTTTCTTCTGTCGCAATGTGTAGACTAAGAAAAGGACACTCGACTTTAGTATGGCAAGGTATTCCATTAATCTCACCGTCGACAACGTCACTAATGCATCATGTTCTCCTTGAATAACACTTCGACGATGAAAAGCGTAAACACCCGATATAGTTATTAAAATTGCTAAGAAAATATTGTAAAGTGATCCGATGAAGGAAAATTTACAGAGAGTGATTTTGAAATGCCGGTTTTTTGGCAACACTGCAGAAAGATTTAGTGACCAAGGTGACAATCCGAATACTTTAAAGAAATAGAATTTAGAAATCATCAAATTTTGATTATCCTTTTTGTATGAATTCCGATACATTTTTAGAATTTATATGTAAAGTTTTGAACAACTTCCACTCCGTGCTTGACAAAAGCTAGAAAAAGACTAATTTAATGAGATCGATTGTGATAATTTCTGCATACTCGGTCACGTGATAACTTGCGTTTTCATTATAAGGTTAACTATGTTGATAATCAAGCTATTAGTGGAATTATAGTTATAATTTATTTAAAAAAGATAAACGATCAACGATTACATCGGAATTCTTTTAGAAAAACACCAATTATTTATATGCTTTATGACAGCATCTTGAATCGATCGAAGTACGTGCACAGAATGAGAAAATGTGCAAGCAATATAAAAAATCTCGACCACATTCTATTTTAGTTTATATTCATTCGAAAATTTTGAACATGGAATTTAAAATCATGCTGTCGTAATGTTCACAATGTATTATTATTCATCATTCATTTTCGATCATGGCTTAAATCGAAGCTTATCGCAGATTGGGTAATGATGCACTTGAGATATTTTTTAATTAACTATATTACGATCAATGCACAGTGATCAATTAATGTAGAAAGTTGTATAAAAAATGATTAAAAATATTCTATTTACGCAAATTAGTCGCTCATGACATCGGTAGTGTGAAAATGTGCAAATAAGTCGGTAGTATGTCAGGTCCTTTGATATTATTATCAGTATTGGATTTTCTAGTATTTTGTGCTTGTACATCGAAATGTCGTCATCAATTCAAATAAAGCTTGGAACAATGTACATTCGCGCAATGGAACGCGAGTCGTGTGGGTAACATTCCTGTTCATTGTGTTCATTTCCAGCGTCACATATTTGAGAAGAGGTACTTTGATTTAATGATACTGCGTTTATCACTGTTGAGTGATACAAAGTATCAAATCAACAAGCAAGTGTATCGATTAATTAATAACAGAATTCCTTTTAATAAATCAACTAGCAGTTTTTTAGTCTAAACGTCCATCAATCATCAGAAGCAATTTAATTTATAAAATGCAACAACATAAAAGTAGTGTTGGTTGCGACATCGTTGAGTTAACACCAATAATTTTGAAAAGGCAGAAATGAATTTTGATAAAAATTAACATTTTGATTCTGTATTGCGGTACTTGATGTTTTTGCAACATATTTTGTTCAGAATAGTTGGATTGTTGCCTTGGACAATGAATCAATCATTTAATGTTCTTGTCAATCATAATAACAGTGATAAACTTTGCCGATTGTCATTCCTAGGATTGGGTTACAGTTTCTTATTGTTTTCAGTGATAATAATTTTGAGTGTTTACAAGTTAATTGAATCTCCGTCAGTTCAAATCCAAGCTGACTCGATGTTAACGGCAACTTTGACGACTAAACTAGAGTTCATCACCCAACTAGGTGTACTTTTGATCCCCATAATTTTCATCTGCCGGCAAACGTTGATGACGAGTGTCATCAATCGATTGGCTGATGTAGATGAAAGACTGAAGAGATGCCCGGGTTATGCTATTGAGAGCAATTTAACAGCTGTTATTGTATTCGTCGTACACCTTGTGTTGATTTCTAGAGTGGGAATATTGATAGGACAATACCATTTGCCGCTGGTGTTAATTCGATTTTCCCCGGGCATTATTGCCAGTTGGTCTGTCACTCAATTTTCCACCCTGCTGATTTTGATCACCAAGAGGATCAAAAGGATTAATACAGCTTTAGTAAAATTGGGAGGAAACATCAGAAACAATCAAGCCCAATCACGAAGTTTGTCAATTTTATGCGAACTGATGGTTCACGAGATTAAAAATTTGAAAAACGGGTTCGTTGAACTTTTTGAAGTTTGTGAAGACATCAAAGATTTCTACGGGCTCCCGGTTTTAATCGTTATTATCTACTACGGCTTGCAAGGTATACTGGTGTCGTATTTCGCTATTTCGTCGATGATCCAAGGACAATCACACACCACAACAATGCATTTGCTCAACGGAATGCGCTTGTTGTTGACGGCCTTTGTATTTACTGTATTGACGTCTAGTGTCACGAGTACCGTCAGAGAGGTACAATAACATATCATGCGTTCAATAGTATAACATTGATTAAATTTATCTTTCGGTGATTGTACTGAATTGAGTAATTAATTTTTCAGAGTCTAAAAACGGCAAATATTGTCCACCTTCTCATAGATCGATATCCAATGGATCAAAAAATTCAAGACTACGTGGGTGAATTTTTTTGACTAACTACTTAAACACTATTCATGGATAATATCAATTGAATTTATGATTATAGTTGTTGAAATTTTCGCATCATCTTGTACATTTAAAATTTAACTTCACAGCGTGTGATATTGTTCCGCTTAATCGCTCCTTTTTAGCAGTCGTAAGTAGCTGTTTTTTTTTTTTTATTCTTTATAAATTTAAATATGAAAATTTCAAGTTTATCATTTCGATCATTAATTTCAGATTGTTGGTACAATCGCAACTTATTTAATAATCATCTTCCAATTCCGTATCAGCGCGCTGCTATAATTTTCTTTCTACAATTGATTAACTTGCGTTTTTTTATTGTACTTGTGGAAAATATTTTGTGAAAAGAGTATTTTAAATAGTAGTATAAATAAAATATAACTATTGGGATTGAAAAGCTAGTCATTAAAAGTTCTCGTCAAACCTATCATTCGTCAATCGGATTGCCAACTAAAATGGATAAAAATAATCAATCACGCGAATAAATGGTGCTTATTCATCAGATAACTTTCAAGATCCATTAGTTTTAAAAAGGACTTTCTGAAACCTATTTTGAACAAATGCTGATGTTAAGAAAATTTTTATTCTATAAATCGAGTTACAATCCACACGTATCAATTAAAAAACTACAAATTATGCATACAATAGAACAAGAAACACTTTAAAATAGTTTTTGTAGTTACAATTTTGCACTTAAAAATTTTATAAATAATTTGCATTGAGTTTAAGAGCAAAATAAACTTAAGGTTTTTGTTTGACAGCATCTGCTGGATGAAATTCTAACATGATGATAAGATACGTCATAACAGTGCCGACGATCTGGAAGAAAAAATGAATTTTTCGAATTGAAGTTATTTTAGAATGATAAAAAATAATCAGTGGATAAATTCTAATTACCGTCGACAAAAGTGTGCGATTAAGAGGAAAAATTCGACAAGCAATAAATTGGACTTTCCGATGAAGTAGATCGAGTGAAAAATTGAGCAACTGTAATTGAAATCAGTTAATGAAGCATTTCAACGTTCTAATTAGTAAATTGTCTAACTCGATTTTAGAGAATCTTCCATTTGTACGAAAATACAATTAGTTCGAAATTTATTATCACTTTAGAAAACCATTTAATATTTAATAGAGGTATCATATTTTGGTTAGGATCATTCAAATAATTTATAATTGAACTATTACTACATCAAATTATTAAAAAATCACCCTATAAAAAATAAAGAGTTAGACCAATTGCGAATTAGACCGTCGATTTGGTTATTTTTTATAAAAGAGTTTCATGCGCTAACTTTTTTTTCGACAATCTCATCAATGTTGGACTGATCCTTGCGTATGTTGATAATGTTGGCCGTTTTTTGGCTCTAAAAAAATGAAAAGTCTCAATAAAAAATAACAAACTCAGGAAAATTTAATCTCTATATCTCTTGCTCTGTTTTAGAAATTCAATATATTGTTTATAAATTTTTGGGATTGTCTCCATGGACATTGGATAATTATCTACTTTTACGAAAAAAGAATCAAGGCAATAATAAAAAAAGTGTGCAAATTTTCATGGATTGGATCGTTGTACAATTTTTTGGTGATTTTGATTATTGTAATAGCAGATTTGTATGATCGTTTCGCTGGGTATGAATTTAAATACGATGATCAAAGTGATGATAAAGACAAAAAGAGTATTATGATTTTGAACCAACGCCAATTTACGACTCATTGCTATCCAAAAAGGAAATGATTACAACAATTGGACTTTGCTCAATTGTGTTTTTCTATATTTGTAAGCAGAGATCAATTATTGATGCCATCAATCGTTTGAATTTGATAGAGAAGAAATTGAAGAGTTGCGATAAATTTGAAATAAAATACATTTCAAGCTACGTTATTTTTATCGTAAATTTGATCTTTTCTAGTGGAAATATTTTGACAAAATCACAATAGACAATCCTACAAGAGAAATCTTAGTCAAAACGCCGCCTCCTGTGATCAGCAGTTGGACAATCATTCAGTACACTTTACTACTGATTGACATTGAAGAAAAGTTCAAAATTGTAAACTTGAAAATTTCTAGAATGACCAGATATGAGTCTATCTCTAATAATGTTGAAGTAATCAAAAGTACTTATAAAGAATTGTGCGACGTTTGTGAAGAAATAGCTAATTTTTATGGAATACCTGTTTTGGCTGGTATATTATATTTTGGTGTAGAATGCCTGTATATTTTACAATTCATATTTACGTCTTCTCTCCAAAAACCACCTCCTGGATTCGAAGACTATTTTTTCGACTTCTCAAACTTTCTATGGGTGATTTTCTTATTTTTGGCGTTAACTTCAAGTGTCTCAAGGACAGCCAGCGAGGTACAGTTCGATTTTATCTAAATGAATATCGCTTCTAATGAATCATCATACCTTTTTTAGAGTAAAAAAACTGGAAAACTCATTAACTTGCTCGCAGATCAATGCCCCTTGAACTCAAAAATCAAAGAACAAGTAAATAGTCTACTTTTATTCATCCTCATGATGAGTAAATTAATAATTTTTGAACTTTGTAATTTTAGATGGTCAAATTTTCAAAAGATCTTCTTCACTTTAACGTCAAGTTTTCTGCATGTGGAATTATACCACTAGATCGTACGTTTTTAGCAATTGTAAGTCCCCAAAAATTTCCGTATTTTTAATAAAAATAGATTTTTGATGTTCAAAAATATTTCTTCAGGTAACTAGTACTGTCGCAACATATTTCGTGCTTTTCATTCAAACACTGGGGGTCGATAGCTAATTATTCCGAGCATTCAAAGAAGAAAACAATTTTATTTTTAATTTTTGAATTGATATCAAACGATATAACATCAATTCGTAATTGTCCGATGAATTACATCTCCTTCAATTATTTAAATATACTTTAACTATAGAGTGCAAACTGCATCATAATTGCTGTGTAATTAATTATAAATATTCCAAGTAATCATATTTCTTATCGATCAGATTGCCAGCATTTTGATGCAAATGGAAAAAAGTAATCGATGATATATAATTTTTATTCAAAGCGGCAATTATTTGAATTAGTATTAATTGCGACACTCTAAAACCAGCACGCTTATTTGAAATATTAACTTTTGAAAATGCAGCCTATAAATTTTGTCAAAACGACGACTAAATCAAACAATAGAGTGTATCGATTTTTTCCATTGATTCAACACTTTATTTACAAAACTGTAGGAGTGTCACCATGGATATTGGACACTTCTGAGAACTATCAAAATAAAGAAGTAGTTTCTAAATTTTCATGCTTTGGATCTCTATACAATGCTTTCGTGATTACGTTAATTGTTTTATTTAAATGCTATTATGTAATTAATGGTTCTACAGATAATGATCGAACTGACAACGATGAAGACAAAAAAAAAGATGACACAGTTGACATTTTAGACAAATCTCAATCTGTTTTTAAAACCCTAATACATTGTTACTTTACATTTTTCGGCAGAAATCTATGGTCAGTGTCATCAATCGTTTGATCATAATTGACAGAAAATTGAATCAATGCACAAAATTTGAACCAAACAGAATTTCAAGCTACCTCATTTTTCTAGTAAATATTGCAATTTCCTGCGGCACAATACTAATGGTCGCATCGAATTCGTCCGTAAAAATAGTGATAAGCGAAAATATTCCAACTATTATCAGCAGTTGGGTTATTATTCAGTACACTCTGCTATTGATTGTCGTCGAGGAGCGGTTCAAAATAATAAATTCAATAATTTACAAAATGGGCGACTTCGCAAGTGACAGTACTCGAAAACCAACGTTACTGCTGATTGATGTATCCATCTTGCGTGATTCTGTCTGTCAGAATATCGATATTATGATGAAGAACGCTTACGTGGAATTGTGCGATATTTGTGATGAAATCACCGATTTTTTTGGAATACCGGTATTGATTAGCATAATGTACTTCAGTCAAGTGGGTATATACATTTTATACGACCTAATGATACCATCTCTTAAAAAAGAACCTAACGAGTTTGCATTTTATTCCACCATTTTAATTCGTATTGTGTGGACCGTGTTTTTATTTTTGGTATTAACTTCAAGTGTTTCGAGAACTACCAGTGAGGTACAGTTCAATTTTATCTCAATCAACATCACTTGAAAGAAATTATCATTAATCGCACTTTTTCTTCTAGAGTAAAAAGACGGGAAAAATTATTAGCCTGCTTACAGATCGATGTCCCATGAATCCAAAAGTCAAAGAACAAGTAAAAACTAAACTTTTATTCGTCACAAATTGAGTTAGTAATTTTTGAGCACTCGAATTTCAGATGACCAAATTTTCAAATGATCTTCTGCATTTTGACGTCAAGTTTTCTGCATGTGGGATCGTACCATTGGACAGAAGTCTCATAGGAACAGTGAGTTCAAAAAAATCCAATTTCAATTGAAAAATAAGCTTTTATGATCTTCAAAATTTTTCCGTTAGATAACTGGTACTATTGCGACGTATCTTGTGATTTTCATCCAATCTAGCGCACTTTCAAAATAATTTTTTTCAGTTCAACAGAATTTCCAACGTAAGTTCAACTCGGTTCAAAAATTTCAAATTTTTGTAATCAGTCAATTTATTTAACTTAATTTTTTTAGGTTTGTAGAACTATTTCTTCATAAGCACGCGATTACTCCACCAGATGAATTGCAAAACCTTATCGAACATATTAATCGTATCACAATTACATAAAAGTATGTTTTACTTGATAAATATCTGTCAATTATTTAAATTGAATTGTCGACTGATAAATAAAGCAATTTAAATAGCCATTTATACATTGTTGTTTACTAATCCAATCAAGATACTTCAATGCATGGAAGGATTATCACGCGACGCTTTTGATCTATTACTTTCATCAATTCACAGATTATCAGTGAAAATGGAAATAAATAATTAGCAACTCTCACGCCAGTACATGACGCTAGGATAAAATCCAAGAACTGTAGTCATAATCGCGACGCTTAACAATAAACATACCTTCTGTTATATTTAAAATCAAAAAGCCAGTTTCAAAAATGCGGCGAAATATAATTCTTAAACCGAGTTCAGATTTATGCACGAAAGTGTACCGTTATTATTCAGTAATTCAATATATTGTTTATAAATTACATGGATTGTCACCATGGACATTAAAAGTGTCGGAGATGTTTAAAAAAAACTCCAGAATTGAAGATAACCAGCACCAAATGTTAAAAATTTCGTACATCGGTTCTTCATATAATATTTTGTTAATGTTAGGCATCGTTTTATATCAGATTTACCTTGAAAATGCTTTGCGTCAAAGTAATGAAGTTCTTGATGACACTGAATTATTTTATATTCCCGAAGAAATCCCAGGAGAAAATTTTGGATCGAAGAGTTTTGTAAAATTAACATCTATTACATGGTTGATGGAAACAATAAGTGTTTTATGGATCCAGCTTTTTTACGTTTATAAACAAAAATCGATGATCAACATCATAAATCGGCTGAGTAATGTTGATCGAAGATTGAACATCGAGGTAGATTCGTATGCAAAAAAAACATCAAGTTATTATATTTTTATGCTCAATTTTGTATTCGTCAGTGCAAGGATAATATTAGTTTTACCAATGGAAGCTTCACCAGTAATTTCAATAGTATATGAAAATTTTCCTACAATGATGTACAGTTGGATAATTGTGCAATATACCCTACTACTCGGAATCGTTGAAAAACAATTTAAAGCATTAAACTCATCTATCAAAACAAGCGATTTTAGTGAAATTTCAACATCAATGGTCAGATTATCGCTAATGGAAGAATCTGCATTTCAAGAAATCGATCATTTAGAAAGTTTATACATAGAATTGTATGACATTTGTGAAGAAATAAACAATTTTTACGGGCTACTGCTTTTGATGGCTATCCTGTGCTTCAATTATAACCTCATACTTTTTATTTCGTTCTTTATCTTAAATGGTGCATTTCCTAGTGAAATTCTTGAAATTTTTTTCATTTTAGCTCAAGTAATATTTATTCCGTGGATGATTTTCTTAACTCTAGTACTGACTTTTGTTATTTCCAAAACGATCGATCAGGTATGAAAATTTTCATCCTCAAAGATTTTTTAATTAAACGAATTTTTAATTAGAATTTTTTCAGAGTCAAGAAACTGGACCACTAATCATTTTGCTTTCGGAGCGATGTCCAATGAACCCGCAAGTCAATGAACGAGTAAACAAACTAAACTTTTTTATTTTTAGCGGTCTTTTTTATTTTTAAATGTTAAATTTTCAGCTGGTCAAATTTTCACGCGATCTTGTATTTTTCAAAGTTGAGTTCTCGGCTTGGGGCACTTTGCCACTAGACCGGAATCTTTTAGGAATCGTAAGTTAATATCTGCGCCGAAATTTTGTTTCTGATTTGTAATTATTTTTCGATTAATCAAATTATTTTTTAGGTTTGTGGCATTGTATCGACGTTTGTAGTTATCATTGTGGCGTAAAATTCCAAAGTTATTCTGCAAACATCAGTATTGATTACATCAAGCTCCATAATTTCAGAGACAATTGTCGATTTGAATTTGTAATCACCCAACCACTGCAATGCAAAAGTACTTTTCTTCATAAATTATTGATCGAACACAAATATTTCTTTACACACGCGATCACTCAACTCAGTGAATTGCGATTGATCGGACAATTTATCAGTATAACATTCACGCATAAAGTATATTGTATCCTACATTTATTTCTGTACATTTTTCAGATTAATTTGCTGAATAAAAAATCATAAAATTGAAATAACTACCTGAAAAAAAATTATTTATCCCTTTACTGACGAAAAAATCAATAAAATATTATTTTCTCACAATTTTATTAAATAAAAAAACGAAAAGCCTATCTATAGTATTGTAACCAAATAATTAACTTAAGTTAAATTTCTATGGAAAGAAATCACCAAATAAATAAATAAATAAAATAAATCAATTTTTTTTCTTCGAAACGTATCTCATTACAATACTTCAATTTCCTATAGACACTCAAGGATTCAAGGAAATAAATAATCCAGCTGAATCTTGCATGTGCGTAGTCCCGATAATTTAGTGAGTAAATTAACATATCGATAGATAAAAACCTTAAGGGGGTATTCTAGTCTAGAAGCATGAATTTCAGGTAAGTTTTTGAAGTTTTTACTATCCATTTTTTTATAAGTTATTTATTAACATTACAAGAATACAGAAAAAAATAAAAAAGACTTGAAAATTCAAAAAATTAGCAGCTGATGAAGTGGGGGGAGGGGGGGTCTCAAAAAATTGGCACGTGACCATGCCCACGATTCCAACCATCCTAGCAATTGGAAATAAAAAAATAAAAAAGATTATCAATCTAGAGTAATGTCGCTATGGCATGAACTAGGCAAAAATTGAAAAAAAATTTTTTACTATTTTTAAAAAATTCGAAAAAGTAAAAAAAAAAAAAATATTGATTGCCTTTTTTTTACGGCACTTCAAAAAATTACCTGAAATTCATGCTTCTAGACTAGAATACCCCCTTAATTGTATTGCCGGCAAAGTAATGAATGCTGACGCTCAATAAATCTCCGGAAAAAAAGTTTGATGATTTGACGCAGGGACTTGCGTCACTTAAATTAAGCCTCGCTCAGGATTTAACCTTCCCCTACACTTATGAATCCTCTGCTCACTATAAATCTCTAAGATATTCAGTGGCCGTGAATAATGTATCGGAACTGAGGGTTAAACGCCAACACGAGCAATCTTGATTGATTAATATACAATGGCAGGTGTTACAACTCATGTGATACATTGAAGAGCCTTATCTTTATTACTCCCGATGCAATTATACACCGCGGGCATTAATAATGTCACGTGTAATTATTTATCTGCACCTTTAACATTTATCACAGCAATAATAATATAATGTACCAATAAAGTAATTTACTTTTCGTATTTTCCAGGACTGCCCTTCGAACTCAGTGTTTTTTGGCAGCAGTACCCCTGGGAGCTGGGCTGGGGGCTCTGCAAAATACGAGCTTACGTCTCAGAAACGTGAGTAAATATATTTTATTTCTTTTGAAAACAATCAACACAAATAAAACACTTAACTTAATTTTAGGACATTTTTTTGTTATAGTGCTAAAGTTTGTTTTTTTTTTTTAATAAATATTTTGAGTTTCTGACTTTTTGCATTAAAAAAAAAATATTTTGATCGTTAAAAAAAAATTTTAAAGCTTAATAATTAATAAAAAAAAAAATTCACGATTAAATAATTTTATCAGAATTTTTTTTCGGGAATATTTAAAATTTTTTAATAATCTTAACTTTGTTAAAACTACTTTGGTCACTTTTTTTGTAAAAAAAAATGTAATATTTTAAAAAAACAATTGAACGTAAATGTAATATTTTTAAAAATTAATGAAAAAAGTGCTTAATATTCTGAAAAAAAAGTAAATGTAATATTTAAAAAAAAAAAACTCGTAAAAATAGCGTAGCATTTCCAATAATACTTACATAGCGTAACATATTTCCAATAATACTTTTGTCTGGTTTCAATATGAGTAAAAATAAATATTACTCAACCACAAAACATACTAATGTCGTAATTAACCTGAACAAAAACTTTTGTAATGCGCTTGAGTATTTAATACGAAAAGAACCGACAGTAATTTGTTTATATTTTTAGTGAGGGTGAAAAAGTTTCAACAAAATTAACTGCGGGCTTTTTTAGTTACGTAAAAACTAGTTAGAAATAAAAGGGAATAAGGAAAAAGTTGTCTATTAATTTTCGGTGAAAACTTTTCGAGATAGTTAAATAACAAGTTAGTGTGTAAGATAATTTAGTAATAAAAAAAAGTAATATATTTTCAAGGTCTTCGTACGTATCAGTATTAACGATAGTGGCTTTCTCCATGGAGAGATACCTGGCGATTTGTCACCCTCTACATCTCTACGCGATGAGCGGGCTGAAACGACCGCTTAGGTTCATCCTGGCTGCTTGGATCCTGGCGATGATAGCGGCCATACCGTTTGCCATCTACACTAAACTTAATTACGTCGAGTATCCGCCTGGTAAGTTTCCGCATTATTGCAAAAATTTTATCTTGTACCTTCCAGGTTATTATTATAAGACATTAAACTTAATTTTCATAATTTTGTTAACTAACCAACTTATTCAATTATCTAGTTATTAAATTTCGCCCACTGGTGCAGATACAATCTTTTTTCTAATAGCTTTAGATCGACTTTTGTAATTTACTTTTTCTAACAGTTGTAGCAGAAGTTAAAAGGTCACTTCTGTTTCATTCGCTATTGATTTAAAGTAAATGTTTGTTCAACCGTATTATTTTTAAACTTTAAAATTACTCGAGGACTTTGATTTTAAATTAAAGAAACTCGGAAATAGTCCAATTTTAAAATTTTTGTCATTTTTTATTCTCTATAAAGAAAATAAATAAAACTAACAACTTTCAGTCACTGTACGGCTGCCGAGATTTAC